TGGGCCCCCAGGGTTGCTGACCTAGATCCCCTGTTGAACAGGGGATACCATTTATAAAATGATATCTCCAACTAATTTTTGCATATTTTGCCAATTTTGAAACTACCAGGTCATTTTATAAATATGTGTTCAATTCAGCTGGGTTTTCTTCCCCCAGGAGCCTGAGAGGAACTGGAAACCCAATCAAAAACACACTTTTTGACTTCTACACCCCAGAGTCCTAAGAAGTAGTAGCCCAAAGATGGAGTGATGGGGTCGCCCAGGTTTGCTTGTGGATTTGTCATTTCATAAAGGTTTCAGGAAAAGCTATACTGGTGCTTATTGATCCTGGAGCCTATCATTTTAGAAGCATGCCACTTCTCCGGAGTTCTTTGATCCTTTTTGATACCTCAGAAGCACCATCATTATATACCAAACTTGGAGACACATACGGCCATCATTATATATAAACTCTTTTTGCGGACGTCCATTTTATAAACACAAATCCTCTATGAAATGGGTGTCCGGATGCCCCATGGTAGAGTAAGGGGTATGATAATACCATATGCTCTATTGCGTCGACAGTGCTTTTGCATGCGGACCGGCACTGTGCCTAAAACCAACGGACCGGACGGGCCCTTCGCCGCTCCGCTGAACTCGGATGCCCGGTGGACTGCCCGGTCGAACAGGCAAGTCGGAGCTCTCCGATGCCTTAACCACTCTGGAGGCGGTTGGACCGACCAGTGGGAGAGGGTGGACGGGCCGCGACCAGTGGGATCGTGTCAAGAGACAGGTGCAGTTTGGGGGGCTGAATCTTTTGTGGCGAACTGTGGTGCAGGGAACTGTTGGTTTTTCTTTTTGAAGTTTCAGATGGTCGTGAAGGTGATCCCAGAAAGAGAGAGGAACCTAGTCGTTCAATCTGCCACTACTTTTCACCCCGTCCCCTGAACAATATTGTTATAGAATATTATAGATAGATTAGATTGGATTGTCGGATTATAGATTATAGATATAGACAAAGTAGATCAGGTTAGATTAGATTCATAGACATATAGCGACCCCCCAAACAGGTCGGAAAACACATCTCCCTGTCAAACATGTGTATGTGTATGTTGGATTGCCTTCAAAATCGGAAAGACCATCCAAACACCCCTCTTCCAACAGAAACTGACCTCCCACTCCTCCCCTCCCCGCCCCACCCTGTGCAGGGCGAAGCCCGCCGCCTGGAGACTTGCTGGCGGGAACTGGTTGCGGACACCATCTCCCAGTGGAGCCTGGTGCGCTGGGCGCCGCCGACGGTCTCGACCGTCGCTCGCGTGCGGGTGGCGCCGTCGGTGACCGGCGCTGCGCCCGATGGGACGATCGAAGCGAAGCGGAGAATCCATCCGCAGATCGTCAAGAATCCATCCATCCTTGGTACATGACTTGTGACTTGTGACTTGGCACCCTCATGACTTGGCGGCCCCCAAAGTGGCACCCTCGGGCATTTCAACGCGAAGAGCTCAGACCTGGACTCCGGACCCTTCCGCACAATGAAATTGAGCCTTGGTAGCCTAGCCTGGCCTATAGCCTTCATGATCCAGTTTGGGGACTCCCACCGTCGCCGATGTTTGGAGGCTCCCCGCGCCACCTCGGCCACTCTGCACGGTGTGCGACCACAGGCCTGAGCGGGAAGTCACTCTGCTTCTCAACTAGAGCAGGTGGAATTGGATCGAGGTGTTTTTGTATCGAGCCGTCATTCTCACATGTTGGACTGCAAGGGCCCTTTGACCTGGCGTGGGAGCGGAGCTTCGAAAGCGAATAATCGGGACATGACTGGGACAGACGGATCTGCACCGAACGGCCCCGGTCACATGCAGGTGGTGCGCGGCCAGCGGTGGTATGCCGCATGTGTGGAGGGCGCGGGACGGCGGATCTTGGGGCCCCTGCGGCCGAAGGCGCAGGCGAGAAGATCCATCAGGGACCGCAGGGGGAGAGTGGAGTGCCTATAAGCTATATCCTAAGCTTCTTGTTTCTTTCTTTTTTGGGTTGGGGGGCGGTGGAGGACTCTATATATAGAGCTTATGTAGCCCAATTGAACGGTTCTGGGCCCAGGGCGACCCCACTTGCTTCGTGGACCGTCCCAGGACGCCGTGGAGGATCACTTGAAGATGTCCAGCGGTCCCCCAAACACCGCGGCCGCCGCCGCGCCACCGCCGCGCGCGGCCGACAGATCCGTCGCGGAGGACGCGGATCCGTCCGCAGGCGGGGAAGACAGATCCGTCCGGGGCCACGCTGCTGCTTTTCAAGGTGAGTTACATAGGTTTTAGAGGTTCAATGGCACTGGCACCCCAACAGGTCCTGATGGAGGCCCAATTTGAAAGCACCAAAGTTGGAGCAACTTGTGCCATCTACTCTGAACCCACTGTAGTATATCATAGTCATGGTGAATCATGGATTCGTAGGATTTGGGTCAGGGTTTTTTTGCGCGGATGATGTGCTGGTCTCATGCGCCAGGTGAGAAGAAGCAGGTGCGGGACCTCAAATCTCGTACAAAAACAAGAGCTTCCCTGATTCTTAGTGGCGAATCTCTTCATCCTTCCTGACGCTTGGTCCCTCCACCTCTCGCGTCCTGCACCTCCCGTCCGCCGCCTGAGGCACCTCCCGTCCGCAAGCGCTTGCGCTTGGCCCGCCACGTGGACCTCACCTGATGCGCGCGGGCCGATGACCTCACCAGCGCATCGGCCCAGGGGGCAGAAAAGGGTGCTGCGTCTGGGGTCTGGGGAGGTGACTGTTTGATGGCGGACGTTTTGCAGGGACGGGCTTCTTTGTGAGTGATGCCGTAGGTTGGAGCGGGGGAAGAGTATCAAGAGTGTATGGTTGCTTGAGCAAGACCTGCATTGTCGTCCGCAGCTGTCGCCATGCGGATCAAGTAATTCAAGCAGTAGTTATTTTTTAGTGCCCTCAAAAGCCCAGGCGCGAGGGTGAAGCTGTCTTCCCGCTCTTTGCCGGCAGTCCTTTGATTGAACTCTAGCGCCGCCTTATATAATCCCCCCATATCCCCCCACTCTCCCATCAAGGCATCGACGCATATGAAAAAAAACTGCCAGGTTGCCAACATGGCATGCCAATTTAGTGAAGGCTGGAGCGGTGAGGATCCCCAGGAGTCGACGACCGCCGCGTTGCGACAGGCATCGACGCATATGGACGGACCGCGGTAGAGCCGATGTGGCTGGTGGTTGGGGGAGCCGATGTGCTGGTGGGAGCGACCAAGCACTTGGTTGGCAGGTCTCCAGGCATGCAAGTGTGGTAGCTTGTGGATGCTTGTGGTAGCTTGGTAGATGATAGACTTACTAGACGAGTGAGGCCAATTCCCGCGCTGTTCGGCCACGTAGCTCCACGGTTCTTTTCCTGCTTGCTCCTCCCGGTGCACCCACTCAAACCAAACGCACTCTGAGGCCCAAGGCCGCACTCAATTTGATGTTACAGTGGTTTCAGAGGTTCGATGGCACAAGTTTCCCCAAGTTCGGTGGTTTATATGGAACCCCATCTAAAAATCCTCTTGGGGTGCCAGTGCCATCGAACCTCTGAAGCTACTGTAATTCTTTCGAACATTTTGGAACCACATTTCGCTGGGAAGGGGGCTTCGAGGGTCCGAACCCTGCGAGAAGAGGGATATGAAGAGGGTATCCCTGCCATCGAGGGCCCAAGGATTCTCAGGGCCATTTTAGGGTGTTCTTCTTACTTTCAGTCAAGGATGTCGCCCAATCCACTCCCTTCACCTGAGGGACGCCAATGTGGCAGCTTGCTCAAGGGCGGGAAGCAATGGTGAGAAAGGACCCGTGCCGGCGGCGACGCGTGCAGGTCGTGCAGGTCTTGGAGTCCCAAATCTGCAGAGAAGAACTGCTCAACTTTGATCCATAGCATGTTGAAACAGACATGTTGCACACCCATGTTCAAGCGATTCACACCAACACCGCAGTTCGGAAAAAACGGTGCTCAGCAGTTCGGAGGCAGACTTCCGTCGCCCAGACTCCCGTCGGATGGGTCGGGTTGCCCGAATGAGGAGAGGGAGGCCAAGGAGGCACAAGCTGGAGATGTGCTGAACATCGATAGCGAGGCGAACTGCGCTCTGCGCTCAGGGCGGAAAGGGCTCGGTTTGGTTTCGGAGTCGGGGTGGGACCCCTGTCAGTGAGGAGGTGTGAGGAGGTGAGGAGGCGATGACAAAAACAGGACTTTGACCTGTTTTGGCCAATGGCTTTGGAAACAAAGGAGACGGCGGAAAGGGCTGTCCAAGTGTATGGGGGGCTTGAACCCGCGTGGTGGGTTCTATGTGGTCTTTCTCCGGGCAAGGATGACACAATGATTTTTGGGGACCCCAAAAAATAGATCCACCCTTCGCGTTGCCTCAAAATCTCCCATCCCTGGCAGCTTTCGTCGCTGGTGCTAGGCGGGGGGCTTCCGCAGCGCCGGGCACCTAAGTTGGTTGAGGCTTCGCGGCTTCGGGACGTTGATGTGGTCAGAAGTTTGTTGTGTCAGACGTGTGGGGAGGACGGAAGATCCAATTGAAAAGAGAGAGAGAGAGAGAGTGGAGGTTTTCATGTGAACCCCCCCTCTACCAAGCCAATTCGAAGAAAGAGTCATAAAGAGTCTATTTTGGTGATTTTGTAAGCCACTTGTTTTGTTCAAGGACAGAGTTCCATTGACACAATTCAATGCCGAGGTTCTGGAGAAGTGTGTGTTGTTCTAGAAGCTGAGTTTCTTTTAACCAAAGTGGCCCAGAATCTCAGTTTTCAGACAAAGTCAGATAGCATCTAGTCCAGCACGCCCTTTGGGCGTGGGGTGCTCTGGCCTGTGGGGAACATTGGTAACTTCTGATGGAAAGAGCATTGCAAAAACTTTTGTTGGGCATTGTGGCCTGGGGGAATGTGGCCTCCTCAAATAGAGAGGAGCAACTCCTTTCCAGGGCTTTAAAGCCCGATACATGCTGAACATCGCTTCGATTCCACTTGTGTGACCACGCTGCGACGCAACGCGTTGTTTAGCTTCTTGACCCGAGAAGCTCGCCCACAAGACCACATGCCCACCAGGCTTTGGCTGGCTTCGTTTCTCATCAACCTCGGGTCGCGCCGAGCCGAGGTCCTTTGGGTCTCCAAAATGGTGGGCGACAAGTACGAGGATGCCAAGGCGGAGCCGTTCTGATCGGATCCCGGCGCCCCTTGGAACCGTGGAGATCATCGTCCCCCAGTTGAACTGGAACTCATGTAGACTCTCGAGGGCCATAAAGCACCCCACCCGGTATGAAGAGGATGTCCAATTCAAAGTGAGAGTGGTTTATTTTTATTAAGAGTTTACATTATGGAACACTCAAGTAGTGACACTAAGTAGTGGGGTCCAAATGGTGGACTGTGACCTCGCTATCGCGACGGAAGCAGGTCCGTGGGCCTCGGCGGAAGAGGAGATGCGAAGCGATCAAGGAGCCCGGTCAAGGATTGACACGTTTTGGGTGATGGAGAAAGGAAGCAAGCTCATGAAACATCGACCAAGTGTTGAACATCCAAGTGTTGATCTACCCAAATTCAAACCACCAAATTGGCTTTTTTGTTGAAGATGTTGATCCGAGCCCGGCCAACTTCGGCTGAAGCCAACCTGGCCCGTGGCTCGATTGACCGGCGCGCCGTGTGTTTTCAGGACGGTTTGGAACTGCGGATTGCTTGCCGGGATGCTCCCAAGGTGGGGTTGAAGCGGTTGAAGAGCGTGATTCAAGTTTCACCTGCTAGGTTGAAAGCCCTTTGTTTACTTATGTCATGGTTTCTTCTTTTGCCCAATGCCTCCATATCAGCAATGAAGCACAGCCCACAAGAGCTTCCTGTTAAACCCTCCACCAGCCTAGAGAATTGCCACAGGCAGTCTGCGCTGGTAGTGCATGACTTTGATGCTTCTTTTGGGCTGACAGGAATTAAAATTAGAGGCTGCACAGAAGAGGTGAGAGCCTCAGCTCATCTTCTTGAGAGAAGACCTGCACCTTTCCCAAGGCGTCTGAAACAATTCCAGCCGAGGTCAGTGGAACTCATTTATGCGGTCTACAAGAAAGAGGCCTGAATCCACGCTTGGTGAATTGGGTGGAAGCGATGTCCCAGAAATAAGGCCACCGAAGAATAGCATGGCCAGCTTCAACTGAAACATGCATGTCAGATTGTGAAGAGAGGTTTCTTCCTACCTTGGTTTTGATGATCGGATCTTTCCCTAAACCTGCCCAGACGATCCAAACAGCCCTTGGTCCCTCAAAACCATAGGAATTTGAGGGTCCGACCCCTCCATATGAGGGCCCATGAGCGTCTGGGTGGGGAATACTTGTTTGCCCGGCTTCCAGATCAAGTCCCAGCAAACCGCAGGAGCTTCCCAAGGACGATTTCGTCTACGAAGAGCCGGTGGAGAAGCCGATGAGGTACGTCGAAGCCGCGGTCGAGGTGTTTGGGTAGAAAGCTGAAATTAGAGGGGAGCTCGGGAGCTCAAACTGAGACATTTGGTAACTTGATCATGGGAATCTCTGAACCAAATCATGGGAAGAAGCCAGGCAGGTCACTGGAGCAGCACCTTCCCCGGCCCCTGGATCGGATTGCTCGGTCACGGCGGGATCCCGGGCACCGGCTCCGCGGTGAGGCAACGGCTGGCTCGCAAGCCCCGGGGAACCGGGTGGCAACGCGTCGGTGACAAGGCCTCGGTGGCAACGCGTGGTGAGGGAAGAGGGAAGAGGCGGTTGACTTGGGATCCTGGTTCGACCGAAACCACCTTAGAATGGGTGAAGTCAGTGGGGGGGGCCTTCCCCCATAGCCACAGCTCATTCGAAGGAACCACTCAGTGTCTCTCCACTTGGTCGCCCCTCCATCCGCCGCCTTTGGCCGTTGGGAACCGGGCTCAAGACTCCCGAATGTGGCGCACGCGGGCGCCCGTGGCCGCCTGGCGTGGGCGCTGGGCCTGGCCCTGGGTAACGGCGCGGGCACCTCCCGCGCGGGAGGCTTTGCTGGGCCAGGCATGGAGATGTTCGGTGTGAGTGTGTGGTGTCAGGGGTAGGGGAGAGGAGCAGCAATCAGGCCGACAGAGAAAGGGAGGGAGAGAGAACGAGAATGCGAGTGATGAGAATGAGGACTAGCTCGTGGGGTTCACACTTGTGATGGTTGGAGAGTTTGAGAATTTGAAGAGTCGTCGCAGTCGTCTCTTGCAAGACCTGCTGCTTCACCGCTTCTTTAGTGTTTTGTTGGGTGGGACTGGATGATGCTCGAGACACTTTCGGATTGATGAAATTTAAAGGAGTCATGAAGGGGTGCGATCCATGGAGGATAGGGGTGGCCATTATCCACTCACAAAAGGGAACTAGGCACCACCCCTTTGTGACTCCTGGTCCACTTCAAAGTTCACTTAAAAGCCACAGCTCAAGGGATGAGAGAAACGAGACCGGAAGTGGCCCGTGGCAGGATGTCGTAGCATACACCCGTGCCTGCCAATCCTACGGCAAGCTGAAGCGATGGCAAATGGGTCTGGCTTTACTGGAAGATCTCCAGAAAGTCAATGCGGTGGATGCAATCTTTTGCAGCTCTGGCTTTGTTGGCTCTGAGCAGGTTGTCATACACCTATATGGAAGGTCATGAGACTCTCCTTTGTGTAGGACTGTGGGAGAGTTGAGAAAAACATGCAGATACAAGTACTTCAAGTACCTGTGTTAAGTCGTCTGGTCTTGTAGGAAGTTGCTGGATGCTGCCTTTACAATGGGGTTAGATGCAAGATGTCAATATAACTGGAAGAGTGTCTGGTCAATCGTGTAGTCTCAGCATGCTGCATCTATGTTTGCAGGCTAATCTCGCGTTCTGATTGGGGTTCGGTCACCAAAACGCTGCAAACTTCGACATAAAACTAGCTCTTTCCTGCACAGGGGCACTGAATTCTTGATGTCTAGCAGTTTTGACAAACATACTTTCGTAGAGCGTTTACATTGTGTTTAACATAAAAACGGGTGACTTTTCGCGAGCCGGGTGACTTTTGACTAATGCTGCGTTTACATGCCGAGTGACTTTCTGCGAACCCGGGTTGTTCTTCACCCCGCTTGTACATTGCAGACAAGCATCCGACCTGCCCAGGTACCAAGAAGGATCCCTTTCAATTGAGCTAACCTATGACTCAATGACCTTATCGCGTTGGCTCAATGCGTTTTCTGCTCGGAGAGTTGGGGGAAAGGTGATCCACCGAAGCTACAAACGGAGCAACCCTTATTCGACTTTTATCGTGGTCGTGGTTTGGCGATCGACCAACGCACCGACCACACCGAGGCACAGCTGTGCTGAGCGCCTGCCGCGGTGCTTCCGCCTGGAGAGCCGCTGTCGCGCTGCTGCGGCAGATGGGGTGCAGCGGGAACGTGCCGGCGCCGAGGGTGCAGCACTACGGCGCGGTGGCCGCCTGCTTGGAGGAGAGCCTGCGGGGATGCGTGGGGAAGAGGAACATTGATTGTGGGGAACATGATGGAACTGTAGTCGGCTGCAGGTAGATTCTAGTTAATCGTTCTTTCTTGTTTTTGAGTTCTTTGGGTGTGTTCCCCATTGAGATTGAGGTGAGTTGCGATAGTGAGTTGTGGCACATATTGAAGCGTCTGTTTCGCTCGCTGAGGCTGCCCAGAAGTGGGCCGAGGCGATCCAGCTGTTGAAGGTCATGGACCAGAGGCATGTGCAGCCCAGCCTAGTGCCTCGGACAATGTGCGAAAACAGGTCTATTTAAGCTGGTCTAGGTTGTAGGTCTAGGGTAGGTGAAGGTGTCCAGAAAGAGCATCATGGAGCATTCTGTTCAGTTTTGGGCCACTTGCTGGGTCAATTCAATGGTGGCTCCATGTCAAGTTGTCAAGTGTGTTTGCTAAGCCTTTTAAACATCACCTTCCTTGCCGAAATCCCCTGCCGCTCTGCCAGAAATTCTTCGGTGCCCTGCTGAGCGCCTGCCACCGCCGCGCGCGCTGGGAGCACGCCCTCCTCCTCCTCGACGAGATGACGCTTCGGCGCGTCGAGCCCGACGTCGTGACCTTCAACGCGGCTCTGGCGGCCTGTGGCCGGGGCGGCCGCTGGAGACACAGCGTGCACCTGCTGCACCAGCTGCGCAAAAGCGAACTGGAGCCGACGGAGGTGACCCGAAGCTCGGTGCCTCGATCTGCGGTGGTTGAAACGATGAATGCCACGGATCAGGCATGAAAGACGAGGCATTTTGGGACTCGGCCCCTTTGCTTCAGCAAAAGGGAAGGCTGGTGGACATCGTCAGGTCTCCCAGGGGATCCGACCCTCAGGGCATGCCGTCTTTGACCCTCAGGGCTGGGTCAAGTCGTCCGTGCGCTCCGCTCCACTCGTGGTGCGCTCCGCGCTCCGCACCGACTGAGGTGATGAGTGCGCTGGAACGATCCCGTCAGTGGGAGCTTGCCATTCGGTTCTTTGAGGAGATCGTGGGGTGGAGGGTAGAGGCCCCAAATCGCGAGTAAAGCTGGGCAGCTAAGGAAACATGTGCTGCTCAAGTTGCAGGCATCCGCAGGCCTATTTCTCCCAAAATGGACAAGCAGCACACATCACTACGCCGCTTGTAGGCTTTTGAGCAGCCCTTGCATAGTCCACAGGGGTTCCTACCTTTACTGTACAACTTGTGCCACTGCCCCGATGCTTACAAAGTGGCTGGATCAGTTGAGTCAACAGATTTCAGATGTTATAGAGGTTTATGATCGAGCAGGCGTGATGTGGATGGAGAGCTAGTGAGCTGCTTTTGCGGATTTCAACCTATACCAAGTCTTTCTCCTGTTGGAGGAGATGCTTGATGAACAATGCACTCCAGATGTCATCACCTGGAACTCATTGCTCAGTGCGTGCGAGAGCGGGGGGCAATGGAGCAGTGCTTTGCACTTCCTTAGTGAAGCGGAACGCGCGGTCACGTGGCAATTGGCCAGGGTATGGAAGTGGACTGAGAAAAGAGTGGGCCCAGAACCCAGGCCACAGTGACCATACCATGGGTAGTGAGTGCCATTGGTTTAACTACTTAACACACACACACACCATTATACCACTGTAGTATGTGGAAATGACTGCCCTCAACCAGAGCCTGGATTTCGCCAAGTGGAGCTCCTCCAACCTGTGAGCTTCTGATGAGGAGGGGGCGTATAGATATGTTAGTTTTTCTTTTTCCATCATTTTTGTTTTCCAAGCAAGGTAGCCAGCCCTTTTGGTATGGTGAATGGATTCAACCCCTTGGTTGTGGGCCAGGCCGTCCCTGTTCTTAAGGCATGTGTTGGATGAGAACTGACGTTAGCTGCTGCGCCCAGTGTGCTGAACGCTCGAACTGGTGAAAACCCACGTTCCGAGGTGAGCTGGGAGCCAGAGAAGTTGTCGGTCTTGAAGCCTGGCTACAACTCGTTGATCAGTGCCTGCGTGACCTGGTTGAAACATGTTGAAACTGGTGCGCGGGGTCCTTTCTTTTTGTGTTTGCTTATAGTGTTATTCCAATGTTTGGTGGGCTGAATCGACTAGAAGCTCTGTAGCACGGAGCCACCGATGTAGCTTTCTTTAGTTATGGAAACGAACAATTCCACTCTGGTGGAACGAACAGATTCACATGCAACTGCCAGAGCTGGTTTGGAAGATTATGGGGGATGGTTTCCCTCTACTGAGGGTGGTTGGTCAGTTTTGGTTATTTGGAACCGGTGGGCAGCGAGGCGAAAGCTGGCTTGTGGGAGAAGTGTTTCCACCTGCTTTGGCGTTCGTCCGACGGCCAACGTGGAGCCGACCTGGTGTGCTACAATTCCATTCTGCTGCACTTGGACTCGTCCAAATGGAGAGCTAGCCTCCTCCTCCGCGAGGACGCGGCGTCGTTCGCCCGCGCGCCCGGCGTCCGTCCCAGGATGATCAGTGCTCAGGATCTCACTTTGAGCCGGGCAGTGGCGACGAGTTTGCAGGAGGGGAGCTATGGACACTTCACCGCCGAAGTGGCAGTATCCATGAAGTCTTTGATGAAGATGCTGCAGGCGCGATGTTTTCAATCCTTCCCCGGTGAGGACGAAATGGGACGAATGTTGGGCGAGTGAAGGACTGAAGACTCTTCTTGCCAGTGTGGACCTCGAAACGGTTCCATTGCCGAGATGATCATAATTAGAAGCCAGTGACCTGCTATGGGTTTTTGATGGTTTTTGATGGGCGTGGCGCGTCCAAGCAGTCCGGGAACGCTTATAGTACTGCAAGTAAGGAAACTATACCCTAGGCTTCCAACCACCATTGATTTGATTGCCACAAGCCTCTACCGTTCCGAACAACCATTTTCTCAAGGATTTTACACTACAACATCAGGTCAACCATTTTTTAAAGGGCCTTGGCAGGCTAGGGTGTGTCGCAACCATTGAAGGCAGATGTTCCAAAGGGAACTGGGGTTTCGATACCACTTCTACACTTAAGGGGTGCGTTTTTGCCCTTGAGCAATTGTTGGAACATCGACGTTGCTGTTCCGGTTTCTCGCTTCGCGTCCCCGCGATGCTTGGATTCCCTCTCACCTTGCGCCAGGGCGGCGCTCCAGCCGCTCTCCACGGAGATGACTCGTTGGAGTTGGCCTTGGAGACCTTCCGCCTGCGGTCCCTGGCCGGCGAGGCGGAGGCGCCCGGTCTCGTGCGGGGGCTGCTGCGTGGACTGGAGGCTCCCGCGCTGCGGTGGCTGGCATGCAACGAGGCGGAGCGGAGGGGGAAGGGGAGTGGGAAAGGTGTGGCCGCGCTCCGGTTGAGGTGTGGCATACATGAGTGGATGGGAAGGATGAGTTTTTGATGCAGTGTGGCTTTGTGCAGTCTGCAGTCAATATACAGATGTAGCACCAAGCAGGACCCACAATCGGGGTGGTTGCCAAGAGTCATTTCTGAAAACTGATTGTGGAGAGCCCTTGCGATTTTGGTAGATAAATAAATTGAACATGGATGAGCTTGCGAGCAGCTTGCTGCTCAACTGAGTGGCCTGGAGGTCTCCTTGACCAAACATCAGCGTATCACTGAGCCTGCGCTGGAAATTCTGAGCAGCGTCGGTCTGGAATTCGCACGGCTGGCCGCCGAGGGGTGCGCTTGGGGAGGGTCAACCTGGGATCAAACCAGGGCACAAAAGCGCGGAGTGCAGGGTGGGCTGGTACTGGCTCAGAGTTGGATAGCAGCAAGTCACCAGGGAGAAGGCAGCCTGTCAGCCCTCCGAACCTCACACATGGACCATGGAACACCACCTGTTTGAACAGGAAAAGGGTCGGAACACGCCATTTTCCACTTACCATGTTGGTGAGGTCAGAGTGTAAAATCCCTTTGACTTTGAGGATGTGTCAGGGTGTTTGGCCCTGGAGGCTGCAGATGTTTGCATCAGATCAGCCACCCGATCGGGAGATCTGGGAGACTGGGCATGAGACTGTAGACATCGTAAAGAAAGGGGTGGAAAAAGCAGATGGGTCTGCCATGCTCAATTATATAAATTCTCTATCACTCCCTCCTTCAGCTTTTTCAAGTGCCAACTGACCATTTTGTCTCCCCCTTGTTCCTTGGATTCTTAGTAGCTACCTTTCCAATTCGGTCGACGCCCAGAGTCGGTTTTCTCGCGGCAGGAGTTCTTTAGACACTGCAGTGCACCCATGGCCTTTGACCCCGTCAAGGGTCAATACTTGAAAGTCGACTCCGCCACCAACTCGTGCGCCCCACGCGAGCGCGGCCCGTGCGAAGCCGACGGTTCGTGGACGTGGCGGCCGACCCGCGCGGCCCGCGCGGCCGAGAAGCCCACCCGCGCCGGGCCGCGTTCTTCGCGCGCGTGGGACGAAGAACTGCACCTGGATCTGTGAGAGGATGGGAGATTTCTGCCGAAATCGACGACAGCACATGACAGAGAAGCTTCTCCACGACAGCCTGTTCCAACATAATGATGGTGAACCAACTGCCAGCCATTGACTGGCACCATGCAGCTCTGTAGTGTTTACCCACTGAGCTGGACGCGGAGCTCGCCAGGTATGTCAACTGTGACGTGCCACATGACCCCATCGAGTACCCACTGGTCGTCAACACTGGCGCGTCGCTGGTGGGACAGACGGACGAGGTGAGGAGGTTTCAGCGATTCGATCGGTGCAACCCGCGCGCCACCTGGGCCTCCTGAGATATCAGGAGTCAGGTCCGGGTGGTGTTTTAGTCTGGAAGTGACCCCGACTTCCAAGTTCGGCACTCCTTTGTACCAGTTGGTCAATGTTCCTCAGCTACAGCAGCGTCCGCATGCTACCTTCGGGTCGGGAGCAATCCGTTCCCACCGTGGGAGGGGTGCCATTCCTGGCACCCCGCAAAAAAGGGCTTCCAAGCACCACTGTCCAACGGGACAGTGGAACGGTCGGCGAAACGGTGGAGGCCGGCCGTTCCGCTCTGGATGGGCGCCTTGGATGGGCTTTTTTCCGCCCTGTCGGGTGTTGGGGACCGACCGTGGGGGGGTCAGGACTTGAATGCGCCGGACCGACCTCGCAGCATGCTCTTGAAGGCCGGACGGGGGCGGGAGGTGGCTGGGACTCCAGTCTCCAGGAAGTAGCCCGACCAGATCGACTCCGTGTCCAATTCTTTTTGAATGCCTGAGGATTAACTTAGGATGTCACCTTAGGATGCCACCTGAGGATTAACTTTTGAACTTAGGTGTACTATTCTCCCACCTGAGGATTAGGATGCCTGATGATGTGGGCGACCTGTAATCCTGGTGAACAGAACGGGTAAACATCGCTGGAATGATGCCATGGGTCTCCCTTTTTGATCCCCGTAAACTCATTATTGATATTAGTTGGAGAATGTTGGAGAGTTGCAGGATCTCATAGGTGCCTTAGGGCCTAGGCGGCCTAGGGTCTCCCTCTTCATCTCAGACTTAGGCCAGGTCCTTTGATTTTCTCTTCATCGCTTTTGGCTCGCAGGAACTGGTGAAGACCGGGGCGGCCATGAAGACGCCCTTGTTCTTCCTCGACCAGCCCGGGGGTCGAGCCTGGGAGGTGGCTGGCTGGCTCACCGGAAGGGTCCGGACAGGAGCCCCAAAAGGTCTGGTGTCCCGTTTCCGACCTCACTGGGGTTTGTGGACTGTTGTTCGTCCACATGTACCAAATATGGCGTGGACACAGCGGTGCAAGCAGAAAAGGACGGGCCAAACCTTCTCACCCAAGGCCGGCAGCGTGCTTCGCGCTCTTTGACGGCGTCAGAGGCGCCGGTGCAAGGAACGCCGTGGTTCGCTCCGCGGGGGTCAAGGAACGAATCTGGTCCCAAGGAGGGCAGTGAACTCAGTGAACTCTCTCTTTTTACAGCTCGGTGGCTGTGAAGGGATACCGACTATATATATATATATATATGACCACCAACCAGTGACGTGGGACATCGTGTATTCTTGTTCATTTGGGGGGAACGTCCAGGGGAAATCCAACTTTCGCTGGGTGCACCGATGCCGGCGCCCATGCCCGAAGCACGCGAAGTGACGAACGCGCCGAAGCACCGGTGGCTCAGAGAGGTGGAGCCGCGGTGGAGTGGTGCTCGAAGCATTTCCACACCAAGCTTCTGCCGCAACTCAGTGCCAGGGGCTCGGCCGAGACCCGCTATACTGTATTATATTGGTCATTGAGTGTTGTGGCTCAGACGAGGTGCCTGGTTTTCTAGCCATGCGGCGGTCCTTGTTGGACCACCTGCGATGGGTTCTTGGTTCGTTGTGAAGTTAAGCTGCTTAGAGAGCCATTCATGGTGAAAGATGTGTCAGTTGGACCAGATCCAACACCGTCCGAGGCCTCCATTACAAGCTGGCACGACCCTGATTTGAGGCCGGTCCGAATCAAGAAAATGGAATCTTGTGGCCACTTGCCACAAGATGCCATAAGTAAACATATGGTGTGTTTTTGCAAAAGGTATGCGTTTCTTTTGGCGCTTTCTCCGTGGAATGGACCACCTGGATCGCCATCAGGGACCTCTTCCAGTCCATCCTCGCAGAGCTAGATGTGAGCCTACAGAGGGAGAGAAGGGAGCGGAGCGGTGGGAGCGTCGTCTTGGGAATGGAAGACTTGGACCGACAGCAGCGCGGACGCGGGTGACCGACGCGGACGTGACCGACATGGCCTGCTGGCGCCGAGGGCCTCCTTTTCTTCGATAAAAAAGGTTCTGGGATTTGATATGATTTGATGGTTGGTGGAGATGCAGATTTTGGATGATTTTGGGGGTGTCAGGTACAACTGGTACAACAGGCTGGATGCTGCTGGGAAGGAGTCTCAGTGTCAATAGCCGGAAGCCTCAGTGTTTTTCAACGCATGTACGTAGAGCGATCAACAGATTTAGTTGGAGAGTGGGGGCCCAGCCAACTTGGAATGACAGGAAAACAATGGAACACTTATCTCAAACTTTATTAATTGGTGTTGATTGATTTAGTTTATGTGTCTTATGTGATCTTATGCATCTTATGTGATGTGCAATTTATGCGGTACCCTTTGTCCAGTGTTTCACATCTGCTTTCACCAACCACCGGTGACAACCACGTGTCCATGCTACACTGCAAGAACCAACGTGTGCAGCTGGGTTGCACCTTCAGCTCGTCGTCGTTGGGTCGCTCAGTTGACTTCACTGCTACCACCTGAGGCACTCTTACTGGGCGACCGCTTGGTGGTGGGTCGCCCCAGCCGCCGAAGGTCGAACACAGCCGTCGGGGTGATTGAAGGACACCCCGAAAAAAGACTAAGGGGCTATATCAATAGAAGCCCCTTAAAGACTAGGGTCCTGGTAGGTAGAGCCAATTCATTGGACTTTTGGAGGGGCGAGACGTTGCATCCACCTGTGAAACTTCCACTCGAGGTGGCGAGCGTCGGTGGCACGCATGCCTTGGTGCCTCTGCTGAAGTCGGACGTGTGACGTACGTTTCGCAGAGCGTCGGCGCGCTCGAGCCATGAACCCTCCAGTCAGTCGGGAGGTTGAAGCCCATACTTGTACTTGGTGAAGGCTTCGGCGGAGAGTAGAGGTGACGTTAGACCCCTCGGTCTTGAGACTTTTGAGGGTTGTGCCTTTGGGCTGTAATATTCTTGGGCGAAGAAGAACATTTGTGAGACTTGCTCTTGCGGGGGATTTGCCTCGGGATTGCGCAAAGAACGAGTTCAGATTTTTTGCTACACGGACGAGCTGTGTATTCTGTAATATGTTGCACATATATATATATATATACGTATTTGTGGCTTGTGCACCAGCTACCCAAGGGCAATGGTATTTCCTCCCTTGATTGTCCACGGTTCTTGACTATTTCCCTTTGGGTCAGTGCTGTAGAAGTGCTGTGCCAAGCTGGTGGACACCTTTTGGTTGACGTCCACCGCATGGCGTGGACCCTCTGGACCCCCCAAATAGATTGGGTTTCTCTGGTACCGCACGAGGTTTCCCACTGAGTTGACAGGTGGTTTTCAAGATGGAGGTCCCAACGTCAACCCCCGACATCTGGAGATAGGGAAGAGATCCACATGGAACTGGGTCATGGACCAAGGAAGACGGTTTTCGTCTACAGGTCTCGGAACCAGGGCATACTCGGAAGCCATGCGACGATCAAGGTGATCAGCCCCAACGGCACTTGGCGAGCACTGGATGGCCGACACACGCCCAGCTCGCTGGAAGAACAGAAGCGAATACAGGCGGGACCGACCCCCGCCGTTGTTCCTGGCATTCTTTCTGAGGTGCTTAGAAGGAAGGTGAGGGAATGACCGCCCAACTTCCTTAGGATCCATTCCCTGATTTCTTGCGAGTCGCACCAGTCAGTGGTTTTTTCCGCGTTTTTCTTCTTCCAGCCGCATCCAGCCGCGCTTTTCTTCGGGTTTCTACCATCAGAGCCCGTTCTGAAAATCCCACCAAACGGGAGCTCTGGGATAGCGTATCATTTCGGAAGAGAAGGGAGGGAACGAGATGAAGCAATTGTTTGGCAAAAGCTGAGGCAGATCATTGCCACATCGACTACCTGTCAATGATTCCTCTGCTGGTAACCTTTATCGTTGTAAAGGAGGACGGAGAACATAGCCATCCATATTCACTAAATTGGGCGACCTTTGAGCGGGAGGTGTTGTTATAAACGCTTAGTCCAACTGCAACTGCCCCAACTGGAGACCAGTTGACGGAGGGGAGCAGATCCTCTACCCCCAAACATGTGGCTTGGTTCTGTGATAAGCTCAGCGCACCATAAGGACCAAGGCCATCCCCTCATACACATGAACAGATTCCTATAGCTGGCCACTACTCCTGGTACAATTTGCAGTCTCACCACGAACTCACACGACATGTTCCTGATCTACAATCTGGCACTGCGTCAATGGCCAAATGCGGCCACAAAACTGCCAGATACAAGCCCACAGCCCACTCCACTACCACATCCATCCTTCATGTGGCATTCCCTTGCAGTTTGCCTGCAGGCATCCATAATATAGGATTATTTTGTCATATTACGTTCCCCCGTGTCTTTCCAACCAGGAGTCACACAAGGGGTGCCGAACTTGGAGGAAGTCGGGGTGCACATCCACTCACTCGACTAAAAGCCACCCCGGAACAAACAAACAACCATGGAAAACCACAAGTTCACCTCCTGGAACTCTTCCAGTTTCCCTTTCTTCCTTTTTCGATCCGCCTCTCGGTGGGACCTCCCGGTTCACCGCGCGGTTGACGGCGCCCGAGGCCTTAGGCGCCCAGGTGGTCGGGGAGTCCTCAGGGCCTGGCGTGGTGCGGGCGCCGTTTGTGCGGAAGCCCGAGAGGACGGAGGAAAAGGCCGTCCAGGACGAAGGAAGGGGCAGAAGGAAAGACATGAACTGCCGCGATGGGCAGTTTTTGTTTCATTATGTTTTTGTATTTTTGTAAACTTTTGCAATCATTCCATGTGCTGATATGGTGCTATGGGCTTCAGGGCGCCGGGAGTCAGCCTGTAGAACAAATCAGTGGGTGATGAGAGGGGCAATGCGGGCACGTCCTTCTCCTAAGGTGAAGAAGGCTGAAAAAGCCCGGGAGTGGCAGATCCAAGAGGATGCCACCGTCGAGGAGGAGGCGCAGCCGGGGGAAACCGTCTCGGTTGGGATGTGCTCCGAGGTGTTCACCCGTAAAGGTGAGGCGGTGAGGCAGGGAACAGCTCTTGATATCTCTTGATCAGTCTCTTGATCAGTCTCTTGATCAGTCTCTGAGCAGTTGATAGAATTGGTATGTAGGAACAATCCCGATTCCTGATACAACGTGATACCAATTGGTTGAAGCTTGACTTTAATCCTGAAACTTAGATAGTCATGACCCTTTGTCTAGGTGAAGAAGAACAATAAACTTTGACCTACAATGAAGAAACAGATAGATAGTAGATGATAATGGATAAATTAAGTCAAACAGATCTGACTCATATATACACACACCCATTTTCTCGTGTGGTTTGTGGAGTTTTTTTTTTCTCCTGCCCTTGGTTTCCCCTTTCATTCCTTGGACTCCTTTGGGTTCGTTCCACGATCTTCCACTCAGCATCCGTAGGGACGGTGCGAACCGTGGAACCGAATCGATACCACCTCCAACGTGTCTCCGAAATGGAGGGTTGGGAAAGGCCCGTTAGGCCCTAGAGGTCTCAACTGGTAACCTGGAAGGTGCTGGTATAATTCATCTTGATTTTAGGTCACGACTGGCTCGAGTAATGTCGACTCGTGAGAGATTTCTAGATTTCTAGACATGAAATTGAAGGGGTGCCAATTGGAGGAAGTCGGGGTGCCAAGTGAGTGACCCAAAACTACCCCCCAAGTATGACTCCTGGTGCAGGGTTTTAACCTCTTTTGCTTCGAGGGAAAGGGAGAACCATGGAGAACCTCCCTCTCTGGTGCCATGAGGTGCGAAGAGTCCTGGAGGCCACTCCGGACTCCTTCGCCACTTTGGGGCTTGGCCCTGAGGAGAGGGGGCGAGTGCGATCAGACGACGCGGCAGACGCTGGCCGTCCGCTCGCCGGCGTCCGCTCGTCAGGGCTCAGTCAGGCATAGGCAACATGCCAAGCTGCCTTGAATAAAGGAAACGCATGTTCCAACTTCTGCCCATGTGCAGAGAAGTTAGCGTAAAGATGCAGTTGAATCCAACCTCTCATGTGCTTTTGTAGAGAGAGAGAGACATAGAGAGCAGCAGGGGGCAACCAGGGCGGGCACTCAGAGGTGACAAGTCCGCGTGTTTGTTCATGTTGGTGGAGTCGGGATTGAAGATCCCATTGTTTTTTTTCAATCTCAGGCCCCCGCTGTGTCGAAACCATCACCTTCAAGCCCAACCATGACCCAGCCAGCCGCCCCACTTGCCGAGTTCTCTGTTGCCGACTCCGACTTCTACCGACGTCGTGGGGCCCACGAGGACACCGTTGATGGCAAAAGCGCGCGGTCCAGCTACAAGAAGCTGGCACTGAAGGTCCATCCAGATAAGGCGCCCGAGGAGTTGAAGGCGAGGTCGATTCTGCTTGCTGAGTCTGTGGAGAGAGGGGCAGGATCCGGGCAGGACCGGGCAGGACAGGAGCTCCCGGCACTGCCATCGCTCCATCCAGGCTCGGGCCAAAGAGGCCTTTGAGAAGGTGGAGAAGGCTGCAGCCACCGTGGAGGCGGGTGCGGTAGAAGGACGGTCTCGGAGGGCTGAAACACCGAAATGCGGACGGCGCGTTTTTTTGTTTTCTGGAGCATCCGGTTTCCAACCCCGAAGCCAAGCCACTACATTTCGGTGCTCGATTCGCGTTGAAATCTTCTCCACCAAGCTTCTCACAAGGGCATTGCAATTTGGTGGACCCCAAAGCCGCCCTCTGCGCCACAAGAGGCAGGACAAGGACCAAAAAGACACCCGGGCGACGTGTTTCGCCCGTGGACGCGCGCGGCTGCGCGCCGTCGACCTCGAGGCCTTCAGCGAGACGGACCTCGAGGCCACGCAGTGCTTGCAGCGCGTGCTCCACGCCGCTGGCGCGCGGCACGCCTCGATGTCGCGAGCCGCTGAGACCATCCGAGATAGCCGCGACAGGGTCGGGCGTCGATGGGGAGAAGATGGCGGTGTTTTGGTGGAGGCTGGTGGGCCGGGTCGTGGTTCGGAAGTGCATCGCAAAGGGTTGAAGGATGTTCCACGGATGTTCCGAAGTTCGATCAGAAGTCCCACGTTGGTTTTGAGACTCCTCCCGGTCTCGGGGAGACGGATCACCTCTCGGGGCACCTCCAAGAACCGCCAGGTTTTGTGTATCCAATAGTAAGCTAATTGGTAGGCTGACTGCATGGAAGTCAGCGAGGTTCGAAGCCTGTCACACAAGGAGTTTGATTGGCCCAGCTCCACCGACCCCCCGGTCTGTCAGACGCGGGGGGGTGAGCGAGTAGGGTGAGCGGCTTTCTTGGCATGTTCCACTTGGCAGCACGACGTTCTAGACTTCCAGACTTCACCAAGCTTCTTTTGGAGCCGTGGCAGAGCTTACGCTGCATTACTGTATATAATGCAGCAAATCATTAACCCTAGCCTTCCAAGACCTTTAAAAGAAAGGCTGACCTGTTGTTGTAGTGTAAATTCCTCAAGTGTAACAATGGTTCTTCGGTAAAAGCCATTAAATCGTCATTGGACGGCTACAGGGTTCAAACAAAGGCGGGCCACATGGACCTGGACAAAGCGTAGCTAGCCATGATAATGAGCCCGACGTGTTGGCCACGCATTGCGGACGTGTTGGTGCCAAAGCCGGTCATTCTCCATGTTGCTCATGGCCGGTCAAGCGTCTCACCCGTCTTACTGTCGTATTGTAATCGAACCAGGAACCGGGCTGTGTGTCTCAGCGATGTCCCGGACTTCTCCGTCTGGATGGAGCTCTTTCCGGATTCCTGCCGCCTTGCTTCAGCCTCCACCAGGCTTTCTCATGAGACAGCGCCCATGGCACCGCGGCACCGAGGCCACGGCGCTGAAGGTCCTGGGCGTGGCGGAGGAGTCGACCACCGAGGAGGCCGAGCTCGGCCGAAAGCGCATCGCCGAAGACCGCCGAAGGAGCCCGGACAGTGAAGATGGGGGATCCATAGCTTGCGGCCCATCTGTCCCCCATCTGTCAGCCTTGTCGGTGGTTGGCACCTTGGGTTTGAAGGGTGAGCTATTCTTGGGTGGAAGAACGAGGGGTCCGAAGAGTAGAATGGCGACTGTTTGGCATGGCATGTAGCGACCGGCCTGGTCACTTTGTTTACACGTGCTTCGTGTTGATTGCCCAAGACTAGAAACGACTTCTTTGTGGAGGAGCATTTGTGCATGTCTATATGTTCTTGGACAGTTTCTTGCTTGCTTGGGTCTTTGGCCTCTGACTTTGTCAGGTTCATTTCATGCTGGGGGGGAGGTGGCTGTGTTTTTGCTATTATACGGTACAAGGCAAAAGTTGATTCCAAAGTACCCCGCGCAGTTAACATATATGTTAAATGTATATGCACAGCAGATTCATGGTTGGTTGGGCGGATATATATGGCATTCAGAAGCATATGCAGTCTCTCAACTTGATGTCAAAGCTCACGAAGTCTTCAACGAGAATCGAACAGCACGGTCGAATGCGCGGCCGTGGGGAAATCACCTTTTTAGGCAAGTGTCGCGCCGATATGCTCAAGGGCCCTCAACAACGGAGTGACTGCACTATTCGCTAACTGACAACTCCGATTGACGTCGGCCGATGGAAAAAATGAATCGACTTCACATGATATGCATTCGCAAATCAACACAGTCTTCATGATCAGAGGAAGATGTTCAACTTGTGTGGCCAGGCCGGCAAGAAGGGCCGAGCGCACCACTCAGAGATTTGCCAGGGAGTGAGATGATAAAAGCAATCAGGGGTATTCAGGGGTAGGTTCTAGGAAGAAAAAAACCCTCGAAGCACCACAAAGCTTGTTTTTGACTTCCAACAGTATCAAGGGATTAGCAACAGGAGCCGTTTCAAGACTATGTTCTGTTTTCTTTTCTTTTTGTACTTCCAACGCGTTGATTTGGCATGATTCTGCAATGATTTTCCAGCGCTGTGCCGGGATGATTTGGCCAAAAAGAAGCGGCACAAGAACAGTGGCACCCTGCAACATGGGTTCGCTAGCATCAATCAGTTGTGCGCAAGGAAGCTATGTCAAACCCCACCCCACCCACCACCCACAAACCACAAGTACAACATGGTTTGGCCACTCATTCTTCTTGAACACAGGCCAGGTGAATACGTCATTTCAGTATGGACCCTTATGCTTCAACTGTCGGCCTTTGACCAATGCGCAGAATGAGACGGATCCGGTGACCGAGCGAGCGGTCGAGTTGTTCGAGCCGACTGCACCGCCGACTCCACCGACGCCGAGACGGCGCAGCTGCTGCTGCGAGTGCTGCAACTTCCATGTGGTGCTTTCGTCAAACAGCTTGGGCTTTCCTGGCCTTGAGTGCGCTGAGTAGAGGCTCCGGTCCGGAGCCCTTGAAGTGTGTTTCCTGGCCAAGATGGTTTCTTTGACGTGGAAAACGGGCCTGGTTAGATGTGGGGAAATGTAGAGGGTCAGCTTTTTGGGAGGTGCGAAATTGTTCTTTGTCCTCCTCATTCCTCTCCAGCAGTCAAAGGCACATCCGAACAAACTCGGACATGCTTCTCTGATCAGCTCAGGACCTGCAGCTTCTCTTGACGCTTCACCGCCAAGTCGAGCCAGTGGTTGCAGAGATTGCTGAGATCCACTTCAACTTCACGGGTGGGAGGCACTATGAGGCCATTCCAGCGATGCCGCTGATGCGCGGGTTTGGCGGTGGAGGATGGATGGTGTGCATGCGGCAGACGCTAAAGATACATCAACCAACAGCAAAACAACATAGGCCAAGTCCGTCTTCCAGACCCAGAAGGATCTACCAAACACGGCGACAGATTCCAGGAACGGATTCTGTTCGCGCTTTTTTGGGGGATTTGTCTGACCTCTTGGGGGGTCCACCAAGTCGTCTCCATCCCCAAAAGCCACGGTGACGGTCAACGGAAGCGACGCGACGCAGGTCATCGAGGTGATCTCCGTCTTCCAGGTGGACCGGATCTGCCGCAGCGTCTTGCGGGTCGTGGAGGCGATGCGGCAGACCGTGGGCTTCTTGGTGCCCTGGGCAAGTGCTGGCGAAGCTACGAACGGAACAAGTGCATCGCTTCTAGTAACAAGTGCCTTACTAGTAGTAACAAGAAGCTATTAATTTAAGTTTAGTTTAATTCAAATAGCTTTTTGTTACTACTAGTAAGGCACTTGTTACTACTAGCGAGGCACTTGTTACTAGTAGTAACAAGAAGCTAGTAGAAACAAGAGGTGGGCGCGGGTGGGCGTTGGCGGGCGATGGCGGTGTTCGGTGCTGGGTCGACCTGGACGCGGAAGAGAGAGGAAGAAAGAGACCCCACCATGGAACCTGAAAAGCACCTCGGGTGGGAAAGAAAAGACCATTGAACATATTTAATATAGTATCATATATAGTCTTCCTTGCAGGTCCATTTTCAGGTTCCATCTGGGTCTCTTCCCGGGGTGTAGTTTCTTTTGTTCCAAGGAGTTTGGGTGTGTGGGGTGTGTGGGGTTCTGGGAGGCTCTGGTAGGGTCCCATTCCTAGATCCTATGGGTCGAGGCAGTGGCATATTTGCGGTGAGGGAACCCACCCTAGGTTATACATCGATCACGATGTGTTTTTTCTATGTTTTCCCATCGAGCTTGCAAAGAGCAATCCAAGGTGTGCCCCATTTATTTCGAGGATCCTTCGCCAGAGGCAGGCGTTGGTGCAGCCCTGGAGGAAAGGCTTTTGCCCTCCAAATGGTTGCGGCACTATTTCTCGGACGTGAGGCAATTGGCCCGCACGGGCTCAACCGAAGTCTTCACTGAGCAGATGATGAAAGAGATATCCAGTGCTTGGGAGCCTTCAGAGACTTGTTTTTGGCAGAAATGCCTTTGAAATCGAAGGGCCTTTGAACTCACTCACCTTAGAACTTCTTGTTATTTCAACTCCAATCACACGGATTCTGGTGGCCCAAAGAACCTATATGATATCATACCATCCGGATTATCCCTCACTTGCTTCGGGGCGTCCCGAGCCCCTTTTTTTGGTCGCTTGACCGAGCCACGCAGGTGATACGGGGAAGACGAGGGATCGCTCACCGAGTGGTCCGACCGGTGAAACGGAGGCGTTGACTGGGACCACGTTGGACCTCGGGGGACCACTCGAGCCTCGGAAGTCGGACCGTTTGGGCACCCAAGCCGTCTTCTTCGACCTCTTGAAAGGCCCAGACATCGACATCTCTCCTCAGTTGGTTGAGATGGTGACTTCATGCGAAAGCTGGATTTTAAATGATTTTAATCATCAACCTCGGAGTTGAACATACATGCATGATGTTGTGTGGCAAACCAGCACTAAGTGAGGAGAAGGAGCTTTTGGCTTTGGTGTTGCGCTTGGAGACCTGGGCGGCTGATGCACGATCTCACGGTGGCTTTGTCATGGAGCAGGAGGCTTTCTCTTCAATCGAAGTCTTGGTGCAAAGGCAGGGTGACTCCACCTGAGCTGGTAGGTGACTCCACCCCTCAGCATCCTCCTAGAGGTCACCACTTTTTTGGGGGTCTCGAAAAGCATCCAAAGAAGATCTGTTAGTGACAGCTGGTGGCTAGAATGGCATGACGCAAGATGGGCTCAATGATGTAGATCAGTTGCTCACTGACTTCTCGTCCACGTTCTCTATTTCAGAACGCCCTCTCCCCGTCGCGCGGCGGTCGGTCTCCCGGCAGGTTTCTGGCCATGACCGTGGACTTTGCGCGGTCCTTGTCCGAGGACATGAGCAGCATGTTCCGTGCGCCCAACTACGTCGTGCGTGAGATGACCCCGGCGGGGCAGAGTGATACGGCGGAGCACGCGCGGCAAGAATATGCGACGTCCGTGGACGTTTTCAAGCATCAAGACGACCGGCTGACCTTGAAGCCAGAGTTTCTGTCCATGCTGCGCGACATGCCCTCGCCCATCTACCAAGCTTCATTGCATGGCAAGTTCCAGGTGTGCGACACCTTGCCAGTGACATCAGCAGTGCCCAAAGGCGTGCCTTTGGAGTTCCTGGATGAAGCTGGCGGCTGGTCTCATCGCGATGTGACTGGGGCTCATCGGCGAGTGCCGTCGCCCCTACAGCTGCTGCAAGCAGTGGCAAGCCGAGGCACACGGCTTTCCAACTTGTTCATCTCGGTGCAGGTCTCCTCGGGATTGCCTGAGGGATGAGTTTTGTGTTGGGTGCTTTTATGCTATGTTCATTTTGTGCGGAGGAGTGGTCTCTTTATTACCCACCATGGAAGTTTACAACAGAGATCAGGGTTTGGTGAGTTTGCCAGGTTTGCGTCCGCCTCCGAGGTCTCTCCCTACTTGTTGACGCCGGCCCCAAAGTGTGGCTCCAAGCAGGTGATCTATGATCCCAGTCACTGCCTGGTGGAGCGCCAGTGGGCTGGCTACTTCTTTCACTTGAATCCACTGCCTCCCTTCAATGTTTCGGTCGTGTATTCCGGACGTCCTTTGGGTCCCCATGGCGACCTAGCCAGCTTCGAGGTGCATCACGTGCATGTGCCCAGCATGGATACGCAGTGGAGCAGTTTGGTGTCGCTCTTCAAATCCATGAACCATCATAGCCCCTCAGACTTATGCGGGCTCCGATCCGGTGATCCGTTTTCTTTTGGGAGAGGGTGTTCTTTTCCCTGGGTACTTCAGGTGTCTAATTTCATTCCAATCCCGGTCAGGTCCTGACACGCTGTTCATCAGCCCCTTTGTGGGGAACTGCCAGATCATTGATCGCCTGATGGGCACGGGCACCATCAAGCCGAAGATCGTCTACATGCCATTCAACCCACTGATTGAACCAAGTTACAACGAGAAGCCAGACTTCTTCGCGTGGTGGAATGAACACCGACCTGCTCAAAATACAGCTTTTTCAACTCTTCTGGTGACCAGGGGTGACCATGAACTGTTCAGATGGTGTGTGATCATTGCTCTCATTACTTCTGGTGTGTGTGACCATGAAAGCAGAATCCAAAAGGTTAACTTGTTTCATAGGGTCCGACTCTCTACCATTGGGGTGTTTTTTTTTTTCTCTCTCGCCCCTGGTTACGAACAGTTTTCTGGACTTCCATGCTAGTGGGCCGGTGTAGTAACACCGATATGACCAAGAGCGGCACACGCAGGAACATGGCTTCATTTTTATGAGACAGCTGATGGAAGGCGTGACAGCTGTTGGTGATGCCTACGGCAGCCTACCTGTGACCACTTCCATTTGGTTCGCTCAATGCTCGCTGTCGGCCACAGTGAACACTCTGAATGAATACGGCTATGAGTTGCTCCATGTCGAGCATACCTACGCCACTTTCTTGTGGCGGCCTTTCTTTCAGCAGCTCGCGGGGCCAGTGGCAGCTGTCGATCCCTACACTGCTTGGCTGAGAGGGTGGCACTGCTCCCCACACGCGCGATTCATTTTTGACTTGGAGATTTGGGGGAGGCAAGCCTTCACCCAGGAGTTGCAGATGAAGCCCTTCAAAACCAAAACCGAGAGAGACCGAATGCAGGAGTATGCTGTGATGGTGATGGCGGAAACGCCCGGCTTGCGCTATTTCTTGGAACGTGGCCCAGTGCCACATGGCCGTTGTGGGGAGGGCATTTGTGAATGTTTTCCTCCTTATCGTGGTGAGCTCTGCGAATTGGAGGACCCGCCACTCGTCCCGCAGGACATCAAAGCGGCCATCCATTACATGATGGCGGAAACCGAGCGGGACTTGCTGGACATGGAGCGCTCCCTGAAAAGCCTCTGGCAGTTTTACAACCACCAAGTGGATTATCCCGTGGTGGTCTTCCACGAAGGCCTCACGCCTGCGGCCCGTCGCCGCTTGGTCTTGGCCTCTTTGAATCGCCTCTGGTTTGCGCTGGTGCCGCGCTTCAAGGAGATTCCACCTGAATGGGCCGAAGCCTCCCGGCAACGGGCGGCCGACTTCTCCGTGGGCTACCGCGCCATGACACGCTGGCGCTCGGGGCCGCTGTTCTTGGAACCGGCGCTGGCGGGCTTCGACTACGCCATGACGCTGGATACGGATTCCTATTTCCCGGCGCACTTTGGCTCGGATCCCTTTGAGGTGCTTCACACCAGCGGTTTGACGGCCCTCTTTCCACACCTGGGACGGGAGTCGGCCAGTGTCGTGGTGAACTTTATGCATTATTTTCTACTCTACTGCAGGCTTCATAAGTTGGATCCACGGCGGAGCAAGATGATTGCCGCGCTCATCGAGAAGAATTTCAAGTGGTACCAGCAATGCCTAATGCTGGACATCGAAGTGCTTCGTTTAGATTGGTTTCGGAGCGAGACGTACCAGGATTTCTTCCGCTACATGGATTCGGTGGGAGGCTTTTGGTTGCACCGCTGGGGGAACAATCCTTTACGGACCTTCGCCGTGGCCTTGCTACTCCGCGATGAGGAGGTCAAGTCGGTGGTGATGCCATATGCTCATCAGGACTTCTGCTCCTGCGGTCCTGGAATGCCAAAGTGCACTTGGGATGCAGTGAAGCAGGAATACTTTTGCGAAGCGCCTGCAGGCGCAGGCGCTTCGCACATGCCTGCAGCCTTCACCTTGGAGGAGCTCTCTGAGGGATTGCTGGATTTGCAGCCCTGGCGCGGCTCTGCTCGACAGCTGAGCCGCCGGGCAGACATGGAGGTTTATCGCTTTGCAGCGGGCGAGACGTAGGGCGCAGAAGATTGATGCAGGATGTTGAGAGAACATGACGCCAGCCTGGTAGACACATGCTGAAGTGCGCTCGTTTTCAGAGAGTGTTTGCTGCTGATAAGTGCAGCGTTGGAAGATGAGTCAGGTGAGAACAAGGCTTGCGGCGGCTCAGTTCTTTCAGGTGGTGATCATGTGGAGGTTTGGTCAAAGAATGTTTGGATTGATAGGATTGGGAGTCAAACGACCTATAAGCCATGAACCGTTGGAGAGTGACGGTATTCTGGTGGTGACAGTGGTCATTAAAAAGTATAGGGGAAATTGGCAGGGGGAGAGGAGAAGCATTTCACCCCACGAGCACCAGTGAAATGGATGCTCCAACCGATGCCCTGTCCCTGGTGCTCTCGCCAAGAAGCCCGTCACGCTGGCGCCAAGGAGTTGCGAGAGCAAATCATGAAGCTTGGGATGCTCACGGATGGGAATTATGGCCATCCAGACCAGGCTCGGCGAGCAAAACATCGAGAACAAATAACGGATTTTGAATCTAATTTGAAACACTTTTGCAGCATGAGCGTTTTGGATCATCACCGTCGGGGACCATCTATGTTTGGGATCGTTTGGGCTTAGTCGTGCTGCGTGAGTGAGCACCGGGTTTCAAGCGACTAAGACGACGAAGACGTGAATGTTGGTCCTCAGTCGACTCGAAAGGGCAGTATCAGGAAGGAACATGCACTCCGAATCACTAGCATGGGAGTGAGGGTATGTGGACACCACACTGTTTATATATGACATTCTGACCTCCGCCCCCAACACCGGCTGAAACCACGACGCCGGCCCCCGAACGTCCTCCGACCGCGAGGCCGAGGCCGTGCGGATGATCGAGGAGGCTGCAGAGGCCTTCGCTGCTAGGGATGCCCAGGTGGATATTTGGGCTCCCCGGAGCGGGACGGAGAGGGAGCCCGGAGAGGGACGGAGATGGTCATGGAACATGGACTTTTCCCCGTTTTTTCGAAAGAATACCTTGGAAGGCTTCCCTGGACCCCCAGGAGGGCACCTTTTTGGCTTCCATAGATGACTGTGTCTCAATCTCCAGCATTATCCAACTTCATTCTTTTTGGGACTGACAGCTGGAATGGGGAAGATGAGAACTTCACACCCAGATGAGTTGACAGTTGCCACGCTATTCATCATCAAGTCTTGGGGACGGTGGAGCCATCCCGGACACAACATGCGATTGCCGCGGTGCGGCGCACGAACGATTTCCCATCCACTCCAGGAGTGTGGCCGTAACATGCTGGAACCAGTGCTGGAACCAGTATATAGAATGCATTGGGTCTGTCCTATTGCCGTTCCAGGTCCTGCGACAGAGTCAGGTCCTACAATTCTCACTAAGGCCTTTTAGAGAAAGGCCTGTTAAAGGTCATGGGATAGAGACGAACGCGTCGCTTTGGTTTGCGGGTTTCTCCTCTAAGGAGCCGGCTGCCCTGACAGCCAGCAAGGGAGAAGGCCAGACTGGGTGACGTTGGAAGCTGACATTTGCTCGGTCAGGCGGTGAGTGCAGCAGTGCTGGAACTTGTTTGGAAAAGCTCTAGCACACCCTGCACTCCCCCTCCAGAACTCTCGCGGTCCATTCTTCGCCGAAATGCATGTGATTCATCTGGATCGTGTGTGATTCATCTGGAACATTCGGCAGTCCTTCACTTTCTTTTTTAAAAATATGTTCTACTTTTTGTGTGCTAAACATTTCATACAACTTCCAAATTACAAAAAATCAGACAGGAAAGAAACAACCAAGGCTCATGATCCGATCGCATCCTTTTTGTTCTTCAACAGGTTATTTTAAAAGTTGTTGTTTACTTGTTCTTTCATTCTCCACGCTCTGGAGCTTTCCGTGCAAACCTGCCACCGTTGACATCGCGATGTTCACGATGGAACCCATCGCCAGGCTTTGTGGCGCTGAAGCCGGTGCAGGCGTCGCCCGATATCGCCGAACGTCGCCCGAACAGTGACGTCGTGTGAGGGGGTGGTGAAGAAAGGCCCACCCTGAGATCTCCGACTAGGCTGCTGGGTCGACCCATGATTGGTACCATCCGTTCTGGGTCGTCGTACAGTCTTCCGTCGATTGGTCAAGTTCAGCGCAGATCTGGCGCTGCCCAGGTGACTCGAGCGCTCGGCTTGAGAGACCTCAAGCTGCCGAGAAAGGTGGTGTCCTCCGAACCTCAGGCGCTGCTGGAACGTGGATGGCCCGCTTTGCGCTTCCCCCCCATGAAACCGGATTTGAGACACGATACGCCGCTACGCTACATCCAAACTAACAACATGCAAGCAAGATTGGCGTCAAGAGCTTTTGGCCAGGGGATGCCAGGGGGTACCTGCAACACATTTGCGAACCTGTACTTTAAGTGATTCTGAAGACTGCAAGGGGCCCCCCACTGCCTGCGCCGCTGGTCCCCGATCGGCCCGAAAACTGCGCCTCCGACCTGCGGTGAGATTGACATCCTGCCGCTCGAGTCCTTGGGCTCGTGGAGCACTGAGAGCCGTCGGGAGTTGGGCCGCGTACGAGACCGGGAGGGTGACTCCGGGGGGATCCCCTCGATGCAGCACGAGCGCGGTTTGGGCCCTCAGTCGGGAAGATGAGACTTATAAGGATGTTTAAAGCAGGAGGTCCAGGAGGTCCAGGAGGTCTGACGTGGCCCCTTTTGGCTGGTGTTTATAGCCTGGCGGCGCGGCGGCGGCGCATGCCTGCAAACCGGCCTGCGACACCGCCTGGTGAGGCATCATTTGGTGCTTCTGAGTGCAGGTCTCAGTGAATGCGTCCAATGATTCGGAGGATTTGAGCCGCCTGAGTTCTGACGGGGGGGCATTCATGGGTTGTTTCATCTGGTTGTTTCAGGTTTTGGCAGGCTGACTGGGTCTCTTCTGTGGCGACACATGTTTGTCGTCGTGGGCTTCACACCGCCAAGCTGCCTGTTCTGGATTGCTGGATGTTGGAGGAAGATCCGCCAGACCCCTCCCAAAAGTGTTGGAGCCTTGGCGCACTGTACGTTGGAGCCGTGGCGACCCATAACCCTGGGATTCGGCAGATTCAATGGTCCCTACCAAAGAACCATTGTTTTACAAAGTTTGCACTTTGAAGGCTAGGGACAACCTATCGGTTTGTGCAGTCTCTATATACAAATCATTCCTATCTTCTGGCATCTGGATCCCTGGCATGTGGAACCCTGCCAACCCTAAAGCAAGCCAACCACTCTCCGGTGCTCCGCACATTCCTCAAAAAGACCACGCTTCACCGAGGCTCAGGCGCGACCTCTTTGAGCGACCAGGAGGTGGGAATGAGCACGTCGACGCTTTAGGACTCCACCGGGGGCCGTCCTCGTTGGCCCGACCGGGGTGGGGTTCGAAGTCGCCAGAAGGCCCTCCCGACCAGCTGCAACTGCCCCAGGTCATCAACCGCATCCGCGGCTTCGCAGGGCAGCCAAAGGCCGCCTCGCTGCTGGTGGCCGCTGATGCGGCCGCGCGAAACGCGCAGCCCGGGATGCCCAGGTGGACGAGGTGGTGAAAGCAAGGAGGGGACAGGAGCCTATATAATATATCTGTAATTAGTGAAGACCTTACCGAAGCTGGTGCACGAACTCGCTCGTGTGAAAAACCACTGGAAGCCCGTCATCTCCCCTACAAAAAGTCTCTGCCTGCTTCCAGTTGTGCCCTGGAGTAGCTATTCGTTGTCGAAGGGGGTGAGTAGCGCGGCGGTGCAATTTTGGGGTTGGGTCAACTCTGAACATCTACTGTACTCGAACTCACTACACCTATAGTGCTCTTGCTCCTGACTGGAGCCGGGCCCGATGTCGTGTAGGGTTTAGAGCCTGACCGGTGACCCCATGCGGCCTGGTGTAGTATGGTGCCAGTGGCCTTCCTTGGCAAACCCCTTCGCTCCACAGCCTCGGTCGCACCGAGGCTGGGCGCCAAAGGACCCCAGCGTTTCGGCTGCTGCATCGTCGGAGTCTTTGAGGTGGGAGCCTGAACCTCCTCGTGGGGTGGGGCGGTTCTCCGGAAAGAAGGCGCAACGACGTGCCCTCCGCAAACATAGATTCTGAAGAGGACAGAAACGCATAGAAACGCTAATTCATCACGAGGGGGGGGTTGGTTTTGGGATGTTGTGGGGGAGTTCCATGCCGCTGGGCAAGTACGGCTCGCTCGCTTTTTCCTCGCATGTGGAAGCAAGTCTTCCCTACTTGGGCCGCGGGCCCATTAATATCACAGGTCGGGCCTGGCTATGTGGAGCCAGCAGCGAAGAAAGCCAAGAAGGATGGCACCGAGAAGGCCTGACCGATGTGATTCTGAAGGGACTTTAGGGGATGTGACTTCTGCTGGGTGCTGTCCGGACTTCAGGTGCGGGCGAGGCACATACTGCTCAAGCACAAGGACCTCCGTTTCGGAATGCGAGTCTTGGAAGTTGCTTGCAGCACGTTTTGGCTGGGTGCTTTCGCATGACGGTGCAGCATTGAGTCATTGGGAGTGGCTTCTACCGCCGACTTCTTCGACCGGCACGGGCGCAGGATTTGAAGCAGAAGATGGACCCACAGGCCCATCTGAAATCCAAAGGCGCCTTGGATCACCGATCGACATGGCTCTTCTGGGGGATTGCGCCAGCTGGCGCGATCGAGAGGTGCGGAGGGAGATCAGAGGTGCGGAGTTCAAGGATGAGAGAAATCGAAGTGATGCCAACAAGGGTCAACCGTCAACCTGCGAAAGGGTTGGTTCGGGCTGAGGGGGAGCCCTGATTACATTTGGCAAACGGGGTATCGGAGTGTAGGTGTGCTGAAACGCTGCTAAGCATTTCATGTTGTGTCGAAAAGCCTGCAGGCACTTACTTTGCCCGTTTGTCACAGTAGGTGTTTGTCGCTGTTTGTCCTTTTCTTCTTGTAGATCATGATGCCAGCACAGCAAGCTAGACTGGGAGAAGAGTTGATCCTTACCTCCAAAGCTTTCTGCTGAGGGGAGATGATGGGAGAACCGGGAGCTTGAAGGAGACCGCAGCCAACTGGCTCATCAACAAATACTAATACCGGACGCTCGGACTCACCGAACCTGGAAGTGGAACATGGTCCCTTGGAAGACTACTTTCCTTCACGAACGGGGGGCTTTCCACTTCCATGTTACCAGTAGTGAGTCAGAGTGTAGTCCACATCAACGGCTGACCACACTGACTTTGGGCGATCCACGAAGCCATGAGCGATCGAGGTTTAGTCTCAATGACGGTCTCGGCTGTCTCCATCAGAATCGCCCAAGAAGCCAGCGCAAGAACAGAAGATGTTGGCTTGTCTTCCTTTCTTGTAGATGTGTGTAGAACACAGAGCCGGAACCTGTAGGACAACTGAGTACAACCTTAGGGTGCCGTGGGGGCTTTAAGAACTTACTGTAGAACATCATCATGGAAGTGGAGCACAGGCCCCTAGAAGAGCATTTTCCCTCTACAAAGAGCTCTGGCAACTCTGTTCGATTCAGTTCCTAGCAACTCTGTTCGAAGGAGCTAGAGTAGAGATTCCCTCGCCACTTTTGGAGGGTTGAAGCGGACCGAGCAAGATTCAGCTGAAACATCCACCAGCTTTGGGCCGCACAGCTGTGGACGCCTCCGTGCCTGACTTGGCGCGTCCTGGGGCCAGGCCATGGAGGCGGGAAAACGCAGCAAGCAAGCAGCCGTTGAATCATCATGACAGCATCATGGAACCCATCGAATGACGCCGGTGTGACCTCCAAGTCCTCACCAAAGGCCACCCCCTCAAACAAGAGAGAGATGCGGATCACTCACGACACTGTTAGGCATCTTCTGCTCTTTTCACAGCTTTGATCGGTGGTCATGGGGGTTTTCTTTGCCACCTCCCCGCTCGGAGACCGCAGAGGTCAGCTACGCCTTGGCTTCCCAGTGCCGCTGGGCCGCCTGGGCCGCGGCCAAAGCAGGTGCTGAGGTGGTCCAGCCAGGCGTGGAGTCCGTCGGAGTCGGTGGTGCAAGGAGATAGGCCAGACCTACCCATTGACCCGAACGAAACATTTGGAACGAACACCCCAATCTAGAGGTGAATATGCCAGTCCCATCGCCGAACCAGCTCAGGACCTGCAAAAGGATGTTGGACCTGTTTTGTCCTTGGAACATGAATGAACATGTACTGCAACATGAGGAAGAGGCCTCCCCAAACCTCGAGGCGCTCTTATTCCGATGAAAGCTTCCCCGTGTTGGGTTGGCGAGTTCGGCGGTGCTCAGACGGTGCGGCCGCCTACCTGAGCGAGCTGGCCAAGGTGCCAAGAGCTCCTGAGGACTGACGACTCAGAGGTTCGAGGGCGACCCTGTCGGTGGTTTAGATGGACCCCCATCTGTCGAACGGACATCCCATGGGGGTCATCATCCACTGTTACATCTGTTACTGGTAAGAGGAGATATGTGGTTTCAGAGGTTCCATGGCACTGGCACCTCAAGATGTCTCAGACAGGTGGGGGTCCATCTACACCACCAAACTTGGGGATTGTGCCATCGAACCTCTGACACCACTGTCTTTCCCCCGCCCCAAAGAGTTATCATGTAAGCCTTCCAGAAGAGAACCCGCACATGAGTTGATGGTCATTTCCTATTCTCCGGATCCCGGGCCGAATCTGGCTTCCCCCTTTGGGATGCTTCTCCTGCCCCCAAAGCCGCTTCGGGTGCATGGTTGACACGGGTCTCCCGAACATGAAGAACAGTTTGCAATCACATTCTACCAATCGATGGGACCAAGTGATATCCGTTTGCATGGTTGGCAGTGAGCCTTTTTACTTTCAACTTTCAACCTTTTTCATTGTGGTGATCACTCCATATTACTCCGAATTAGCTTAGGTATGCTTAGATGGGATCCAAACCACTAACATATACACACAACTTGTGCATGCTCAGGGGTTTTGGTCTAGGTTGCCATGAAAGCCGCGGCACCTCGCGGAGCTTCTCACAGGAGCTCTCGCACAGCCTGGCGGACGCCCTTGCACGCACGCGCCAAGCGGCTGGCGAGTCTTGGGAGGAGTGGCGCCCGGTGGTCGAGGCGTGGAGTGTCGTGGCGAAGCACTGGGCCCGCAAGCGGGGAACATGACTGGCAAGAGAATTCCACTTCAGAAGTGACCAATCGGCCACAGTGGCACAGGGGCCACTCTGTTCAGAAGTGCCAACTTCTGAAATTTCAACTTCAGAAGTGCCAACAGATTTCTTGAACCAACTTGCAAGATCTACGCTGACCAATCAGGCTGGGGTTCTGGCTTGAGTATTTTGTGATAGTATGCTTAAAATTCGATGACCATCACATCTCATGAGATTCCTGGCCATATTCCTGGCACTCGGGTATGGCTCAGGGAGTGGCTCAGGGAGTGGCTCAGGGGTATGGCACAGCATGTCATCCACATCCCTCCGCAAGAAGCTACTAGTAGCAAAGGGCATCGCTACGAACGGAGCAAGGACAGCTACTACCACGTTCGCTTCGTTCCAACACCCCGCCGCCCAGGCCGTGGTGGAGCTGGCCTCCCACGCAGCGAAGAGCTCGCCGAGCTCGCGGCCATCGACTGAGCGCCAGGCGTCGTTCGCACGGGCGACGTCTGGGGCATTCGGTTGGGGCGTCACTTGGTCCTTAGGAAAGAAAGCAACATATGCAATCATTTGCATACATAATCATACATATGCATCTCTTCATGTCTGTTGCATTTTTTGAGCTTTAATGCATCAAACAGATTGGGTCTGCTTTTGTAGCAGCAGGCATGCCTGACGATCCTGACTACTTTGCCATCCATCCTTGCAAAAGTTCAGATGCCTTTTTGTTGTGCACCTGTGGTCGACTTCATCAATTTGTTTGATGCCTGGTCATGCTGACCCTCTGTGTGCACACGCTGTCAATTTGTTAACACTCTTGGGAGATCAAGCCGAGAAAGGGCCCCGTTGGACCCTAACGCGCGGCTTGGTTGAACCGCGGATTTGGTTCAATTTGTCCTGGTTGACTTCGCCAGAGCAAACAGACCTGGAAACCAGAAGACACACACACACACACTGGAAATGCGTCCTGCATTCAATCCACTTGCCAAGACTCTTCAGCAAATGCCACCTGGAGCTTCACACATATATTCTTACTCTTACTTATACACTCCGGCTCACTAACATGGAAGTAGATGGCCCACCCTGTTGGTAGAGGACCCTCGTCATCCAAGGGTCCATGCTATCCACTTCCATGTGATGTGTTCGGATGGTCTAGAGTCTACATTCTTAATATTCATTAATGATCTTAATGGGGCCAAGCAAGGCCAAGATTTCAACCCTGCTACAGCCTATGCAACTAATGAGAAAATCGGCGCAGAGTTGCCGCGGAAGAGATACTTTCTTTGGCAGTTGGAATGGGTCCATTCCTGGGTCTTTCCTGGGTCCATTCTAACTCTTCAGATCTACGCAGCCCCAAGGGGCCCAAAGGGATGAACTTCAGCTCCTCTCAAGGCCAGCGCTGGAAAAAGCGGCGGTAACGCCTTCTGCGCGTTGACTCGGATGGCCACCCAGCTCCTTGGACGTGGGTTTCTCTCCGCGAGCGGTGGGGATTTTCAGATCCCAGCTGGGCTGCGGGAGGTTGTTGCAAAAGATTCTATGCTGGCAGCTAGCATCCAACTCTACAGATCACCAATTGAGACTTGATTTTCTGGGGGGCACCCTTCCCAACCCTCGAACGAGGAGACCTTTTTGAGGAGACCTCGTAGATGGTTTGGCGAGCTTGAACTTGTATGTGAACCGCCTCTTTCTCTTCAGTTGGTCGTACCACCTCTATCGCTGATCCCAAATCCGATCAGCCACGTCGGTGCTCTCCCGACGTCCCGGCCCAGATTTGGACTCTACTGGCGTCACCGCTGCGACCCCAGCAGCGACCGGGACACGCCGCAGCGCTGCTTGGCGCATGCGCTGCAGGCCTTTCACCAAGCCCATTGGGCCCAGCCACCCTGGCGGGGCACCAACCTGGGAGGCCGAGAAGCATGGTGTGCCAAAAGTTGCCATTTGAGGCCATTTGTATGCCCATGTAATACTCCACAATATATACTATACACTTGGATGGTGCTCCCCCGCACAAAAGGGTAGTCCGGATCGAACGCATCGAACCGAAACGATCGAAGCACTTGAGTCCACTGGACACTGGCACTGAGTGTGGCCAGGGTGGTTTCTCCTCGAGCCGGGTCCTGCATCGCCCTTCTTTGAAACTTGCCATGCGACTGGGCAAACGTGCCGGGTTGGGTGTGAGAAAGCCGTGTGTGGCGACTGATAAAGACAACGCATGTGGCCCCTACCTGGTCAAGGATACATGTTATCCTAACCCTTCTGCAAGTGGTCACAGGTCATGATGGGACTATCGGAAGATCGGTGACTATCACATACCCTGGGTTTTGTCGGCGCTCTATGTCACCTCGACACGAATCCTGTTGCGAAGATGCCCTCTAAGACTCTAAGACGACTCTAAGCGAGTCAGTGTATGACTGTTTGCGTTTGTCGAGCCAGGCGTTATAATATGTTATAATGGGTTATGCAATGCCATTGTTTTGAAGTGGCCTGACGTTTGTCTGCTTCGTCATAGGGGGGCACCTTATTTTTACGACATTTCATAATCCTCGGTACTAGCATTCTTATTGTTATAGTCGTCTATCCGTACCAGCACTCATGCTAGCACTAGCAGACTAGCAAAATGTCGGAACAGTAGCAGCTTGTCGCAGGCGATGCGCTGCTCGAACCTAGCTAATTACAAGAGCCTCGTGGTCGCCATGGGTTTTGGGTCGTGGAGTTGCCTTGGAACGACGGTGTAGGCCATTCCCAGTCATTCCCATTGCAGTGACTGAAAGATGGGATATGTTTGCCCAGACCTCCGAATTGGCCCTTCCCATGCCGCCACTTCTTTTGGGCATCGATCCTTAGACCCCCCGAAGGTCGAGTCAGTGCCCAAAAAGGTCGAGCCATGCACCTGAGGCCAAGATCAAAGAGATCAATGGCCAAAGCGGCAAAGAGGAACCAAGGGTTTGGGCGGGAGCTGGATGCTGCGTCCTGTGGATCCTTCAAACGTGGGAGTTCTGTGATCTGATCGGATCCAATGATCCAATGATCCAACTGCCTCATACCATGTCTTCCTCCCTTCCGTGTCTTCCCGCAAAACCCCCGTGTCTCACGGGATATATACCTAGCAAAAAATAAACAATATATATTCCTATCAATATTGAACATTGATTCCTATCAAAAAAACATTAATTCGTATCAAAAAGAACATTCCCCCTACTCCTTTTGGTTCTGGTCTTCTGGTTCCCTGCCCTTGGTTCCCTGCCCTTGGTCCTCTGGTCCCTTGGTCCTCTGGTCGTTTGGTCCTTCGTCCTGGTCTTCGGGTCCTTGGGTCTGTACTTTCGGGCAAGAAGGTGATTTGGAAATCTGGTCATATATCCTGAAGCACTGTAGCAGACCTCTTATCACCAGACGTAGCAGACCTTTTTTGTGAGCCACCCTGACGGTAAAATTTAGACGAAGAAGGTGCAATTCCAAGGTAGCAAACCTTTTGTGAGCCACCTGAGGGCAAAATTTAGAAGAGGAAGGAGCCATTCCAATGTTGCAGACCTTTTGTTAGCCTTGCGGGGTTTAAATTTAGAGGAAGAAGTTGCCATTCCAAGGTAGCAGGCCTTGGTTTATTTGTGAGCAACGAGGGCAGAATTTGCAATTCCAACGTAGCAGACCTTTTGTGAGCCACCCGGGGCTAAACTTTAGGTGCCACGCCAAGGTAGCAGACCTTTTGTGAGCCATGCGAGGGCAAATTTTACAGGGAGGAAGGTGCCATTCCAACATAGCAGACCTTTTGTGAGCCATCCACAGGTCTACAGAAGCCTAGAGGTCCGAAATTCAGAGAGATCACGGTTGAGATGCAGAGAGGTCTACATCTACAAAGGTCCAAAGGCCTGGAGATCCAGACAGATCTGCAGGTGTAGAGGCCTAGAAACCCACAGATCGGAGGATGGAGGTTTAGAGGTCTTGAGTCTTGAGATCCAGGCAGGTCTTGAAATCTAAGTCCTAGGGGTCTAGACTTGCAGAGGGTGTAGAAAGATGTTCAGATTCAGAGATATCAAGAGCTCTTTTCACAGGCCTTGAGATCCACAGAAATTGTGCGCACGCCACGCAAGCTGCACTTCGAGGTTCGCAATCCCTGCGCCAGCCACGAAGTGTGCGCTTATAGACAGAGGTTCACCCAGCGCCACGCCTGCCACGCAATCCGCACTTCGAGGTGCAGCGCACGCAATCTGCACTCCGAGGTTCACGAAGTGCTGCACCTGCCATGAAATCTGCAGTTCCAAGGCGCAAAGTGCCGCGCCCGCCACGAGCCCTGCAACTGAAGGTGCTCAAAGTGTTGCGCCTGCCACGAAACCCGCAGTTCCAGTGCGCAAAGTGCCGCTCCTGCCACGAAACGTGCTACTGGAGGTGCTCAAAGTGCACGAAATCTGCACATCCAGATTCACATCGCGCAGCGCTTCCAAGTGGCAGGCCCAGGTTTTTGTGAAAGCTTATATGGCTTTTGATACCAATTAAATTTATCTTGTTGATTGCATATAGAACATTTTCCTTTTGAAATATTAAATATATATATATATATACCTATACTTAGATTTAGTTTCTTTTTGGTAGCCCGGCCGTGTCTCACACCGCCTGCCTCATTCTCCAACTGCCCCCAACTGCCTCCCTCGTACTGCCCTCATACCGATACCGCCTCTTCCGGGACTCTTCCTTGTCTTCCGCATCGCTCTATGGCAATGGCCTCCCTCCCCGCCGCTCTCAGGAGCCGTCGCCCGCGCGCGAGGCGCCCCAAGGCCTGGGCGACGAGTGGTCGCTCTGCGCCGCGCTGCGCGCGGCGGGCGGCGAGGAGCTCCGGCGCCTGGGATGGACGACCGAGACGGGCCAGATGAGCGAGCGTGGATGTTTTCGGGCGAGGGGGAGGTGAAACATCCCGTAGAGAGTGACAGTGGTTTCTGGAATTGGGGGGGAGAACTAAGGGTTGCTTTCTGGGGGTGAATTGAGAGCAGATTCTTTGCGCAGTGGGAAGATGGAGTGAACCTTTCATTTACCAGACGGCCTTCAAAAGCACATGTTTCACATCTTTTCAGTCTCAAATCCGCCCCCCAACATCCACGGGCGGGATGTGATGTGCGGGGGGTCTTCGACCACCAAGGCGGCAACTCTTCGACCACCACCGAGCGCATCACTACACGGCCGGGGCGCCCGTGCAGCGTGGGGTGACCCGCCCTCTTCGGATGGCCGTTCCATCGCCTGAAGGAAGCATCCCAAATACATCCAAGAAAAACGAATAAATTAAGGTATGACATGGTATGAATATATCTATATATATATATATATATCTCTCTCTCTCTGACTGATGGTTCATGATGGTTCCATTTTGGAGCCTAATCCCATTTCAGGAAACCATTTTGTAAGGCTGCATTTCCTTTGCAACCCTCTTGTACGGCAGCTCATTCCGTACTACAAAATGGCACGACCCCACCACCTAAATAATAACAGGGATGTATTGTATTTCTTATATGCAGAAAACATCAGAGTGTCTGCCGAGATTGTTCTCACTGTGTGCCTCGGTGAAGTGGTGCGTGATGGACTGGTCGGGGTATGGGCCCCGGATTTCCATTTGATTACACCACCCTGACGCTGCATGGACCCTGCCAATCACACGGTCCAGTATCAAGGACCCTGCTTTTGCTTGTTCAGGCGGAAACCATGCGGAACATCGTTCAGTGCGGCTTGAACGCGGTGCGCTTACCATTTGGATATTGGGTGGTACAAGAGCCAGGCTGAAGACGCACCGCAACAACGACACGAAAGCTGAGACAATGACTTGGCCAGACACTATTGAGTTTCTGAGTTAATGCAAGCGCTTTGGAAGATGAATTACACAAATCATCATCTGGACTATTGCAGACCCACGATCCATGATGTTGCTTTATTCAAAGAGTATTGCGGGAGTTGTTGGGGGTATAGACCTATTTGGATTCTCAGCTCGTCAGTTGAAGGTTTCATAGGGCAGCAAGTGGCACGGCCAGGAGCGGGCGAAGCCTACGAAGGACCTTGCCGCTCTACCGGAGTTGTTGAGGAGTCGAACGGATGGGGTTTTTAGAGTCTGAAAACCCTGACTCACTACCATTCACTCACATGGAAGTGGCATGGTCCCCTGGAAAACGACTTTTCGGGCGAACTCCACTTCCATGTCGATGTGTTCGTCGGAGTGTAACATACTGTATAACTATATTGTCCCACCTAGTTTGAATGGTTATTGGGATGGAAAACGCACATGATCACGGTCAGGGGGTCGTTTTAAAGACCTAAAGCGTTCGGTTCATTTAGTTTCATTTATATAGCCAGTGTTTTTTTTGCTTTCCCAAAAAGTTGTCCCTTACCAGGTGCTTGAGACGCCCCATCCATCTTTCGGAGAAGAGCGGTTGCTCCTTGCGTTCGCTCTACCGGAGTGTAGATGGCCGTCGCCCCATCTTTTTCACTGGTTGGTTGATGAACGGAGGGGTATCACAACCAATAGGGACCAATAGTTCAATAGTTCATGGTACCAAACCGACCCCTGTCTATTCCTCCCAAAAGAACATCCCCGGTTGGGAGGGCTGTTTGGTGTTCGCTGTTTCGTGCTCAACCGTTCAAGCGTTCTGCATCCATCCACACCCACCCTTTCAGTTCCACCGGGCAGATTCATCAGTTCATGAGCTTCATAACACCAGTTCATGAACCCAGGACGCGGCCAGGCCGGATGTAAGCACATCAAATAATACCACCACGGTCGCTGGCTCACCATTTAATTACTTCTATAGACTCTCAGACTCACCTCACCTCACCTCACCCCATAAAACCCACAGCTGCTGCCCCAGACACATCACCGACCTTTCTCTCCTCCTCCTGACTCCTCCTCTTCGCCTAACCTCTCTCCGGTCGCGCTCCGCGAACAAGGCCTGGAAGCCTTGGACCGGGCGGTGGCGCTGATCGAAGATGTCGGAGCGCTTCAGCTACTGCTGGCGCCTCCGGCAAAGACGAACCGATCGACACGACACGCACCGCGGTCGGGGCACCGGTGCTGGGTGGGTGAAGCATATAGGTCCTGGATTTGGAGGAATGGGAGGAGGGAGTGCGTTCAAAGGGTGGAGTCCTGGGATTGAAGCAATCAGCCCTTTTTGGAGCTGGGCGATTGGTTCGGCGGCCGACGTCAATCAGGTCGGCTTGTTTTGGGCGTGTGCGTCTCTGTTTTGCCGTGCATGACCGCAGAAGGTCCCCGCACGACCGCCAGCGGGGAGGACATCGATATCAGGCACAGAGCCGCGGCTCAGGTCCCCAGGTCCGTTCACGGCCCACCAGGTCCGTTCTCCTTGACCTGGTCCGAACCAGGCCACGTCCCCGCCGCGCGACGGCCACGACGGACGAGACGCGGCCTCGGCCCAGGACCTGCACGGCTGCCCGGGCGGGGAGAGCGGCGATCGACCCTGCGGGCGGCACGACAGCAGCTGGAGCTGGGAACGCTGGAGGACGGACGAGGTGCGAGACGAGACGAGACGGACGGTGGAGACTGGCGGAGCGGAGGATCATGGTGATGATTTTTTTGAAAAACACCAAATTGAAGGGCTTTTTCAATCCAAATGAGGGGTGTTTGTTAATCAAGAGTCTGTGTGAGGTATTGTAATCGAGGTCATGGGATCTTTGTGGATGTTCCCGTTGCGGTGATGTTTTCACTTCTACAAGCTCCAGCGAATGGGATCTCTATAGGTGTGGCAGTGCTTGCTTTGTGCTGACAAAGGCAACTCTTAGATATTTTTGCTCGGTTCATTTCAAGCAGGTTTCGGGTGCGCCCTGCAATGGCGATACAGAAGGTACATTCGCCAAGTGTTCGTGTCCGGCACGTTCCCTCTAGATAAACATTTGTGGGAGCCTTTGTCACGAAAGCTAGCAGCAGCTAGCTGGAGTTGTCCTTGCTTTAGCAAGTGAGGGGCTGGAATCCTCGGGATCGCCGCATCACGTGAAAACTTCATATGTAGGGCCCCCCCCCCCCCCCGTGGGTTCAACTCCCCCCTCGGACGCCTCTGGGACACCTCTCGGGCATCTCTTATGGCATCCACTTTGGCTTAACTCCTCCGGGATACGGTGCAACAAATTCAACAAGCTCACATGTTCATGACATCGACATCGATAGAAGAAACCAAACAAATCATGCAAGCAGCTTTGTTTTGCCTCTGGGACACCTCTTGGGCACCTCTTATGGCATCCACACTGGTTCAACTCCTCCGTGGAGGTTTTGGGATACGGTGCAACAGATTCAACAAGCTCACAGGTTCGTGAACACATCGGATGCATCGAACAGTGTGGCAAAGTCCAGCCACGCTTCCTTAATTATCGGGGACTTCAATTCTAAGGTTGGCTGTGTCATTGCTGTTTGTGTGTCTTACATGTTCACAACGTTTTACCTCATGAGCATTTGCCTCACTCCGCTTGATGTCCCACCAGTCCGGATGCACCCCTGCTAGCTTTCGTCACCTACCCTCGGCCTCAAGTATAGGGTACGACGCCCTTTCAATCACATCCGCTTGGGCCCATGACGTCTGTACAGTACAGGCCCTTTTGGATACTTGTATGGGGGACACACCTATTGAATTATTCCTGCGAGGTGTTACATGCCAGAAGAAATGTTCGACCAGAGTGGAGTGACCTTTACCACTAAGGCGTCCTCCATGTTCGACTGTGCTTTCTGTGTGTGTGTGCTTCGACTGACTGACTGACTGGCTGACTGGCTGACAAGCGCCGGTGAGGCTGTGAAGATCCTGGCCATCGTAGCCGCGCGATACTGCGACAAGTCTTGTGTCACGGGCATTCAGGCTGGTACTTGGTGGGCCGATATGGCTCAGGAGAAGAAGTCCCGGCTCAGATTTCGGTCAGAACTTCCGTTTTTGCGATGTGCCTCCTGGTGCGAAAGGCAGCGGCACAAGTGTAGCCATAGAACCCACTTTGAAACTGATTTTCCACCTTGAAGGTGTCAGAGCCCTCCCATTTTAACCATTTCAGACAATTTCCTACAATTTACAACCTGCCGCTATTTAGAGTTTCCTTTGTCTTCGTTTCTTGAAACGGACGATCGACCACTTTTCACGCCGCATGGGGTTTGTCAAGCGATGCACGGCGATGCTCGACCAGGTGTGCAACGAGCCCTCCGAGCGCATGCCGGTGGGTCGGTCAAGGGCCCCAGCTTGGCTCGGTGGGATGCTCGGTCGCGGGGGGGCTGAAGTGAAGAAGTGTCTTTCACCCACATCGTTGGCTCAGGGGCGTGGTTTCCAGGGACCACCGGTTGAGTCTTCAGGACCGGTTGCCGATGAACAGGTGGGCTCATGTGCCGCACGGCACATGAGCATCAAACATGTTGTGTGAGTTTAACATGAACATGCAGGAACAAGAATATGACACTCATTGTCATTAGGATTTCTACGGATTTTCCACTTCCTGCCAGATTACGCCGCTCTATGAGATAGAGATATGGACCGCGATGCATTTGGAAGACGGCCTGTGACTTTTCTCGAAGACATTGCATCATTTTGGCGTTCTCCTCATGAAGATCTTATATGTCAACCCCCCAAACATGAGGTTTTACAATCCAAACGGTCAAACGGTCTACTATAAATTGTTGCGGCGGCTTGTCTCAGTCTTGTCACTAAGGCTGTGTGACTTCTACGAGAATGCCATTGAGGCGCAGCTGAACCCCACACAGCTGAGCCAATTTTGTAGGAAAAGGGATGGGAGTCTATATCATATTCTCAAGAAAACCAACCATTTATCACCTGAGAGGGTCTGACAGAATTCCAACACCCCAGACACAGCATACCAGAGAAGCACTGCAACAGTCCTGATTCCGAAATAATGTATACAGACTCTTGATTAATAGACCCCCCATTTGAATTGAACATCCTCTTGAAAGGGAGGGTTTATTCATCAAGAGTCTACATTACGCCATGTACGGCAAAGTTTTGGACTGGCACCCCGTGTGGTCAATCCGCAGGTGTCACATAGGTGCCGGGGTTGCTCCATGGCAAGGTCCTGCGACCGGGATGAAGGTCTACGGGATTAAGAAGTGCCCTCCCTGACATCAGTGTTCATTACAAACCATGACCTGTTTCCTCCAAACTGTGCCCTTTGTCACAGTTTTTAGCTCCAATCCTGCAAAGATGAATGTTCATGCGCCTTCCCTTTCACCCCGAAACCGATAGAGGTTCTCACACTCTCACTGCCCTAGGCAGTGCGTGGGGCAGGGATGAGCGCCGACAAGGTAGCGGTGGTGCTTCTTGGCACGGCACGGAGCTCCGCGTTTGGCACGGTGCCAAAAAGGTGGACGGCTCTGCAGCCACGAGTCGACTCGTCCTGCAGAGCGCACCCCCGTTCTGCGCAGGGGTGCGAGCGGAAGCGAGTGGTGAGGTGCTGAAGCGAAGGGGCCACGCAAGCAGGAATTCCATGGTTGTTCGATGTTGTTCTCAAATCGTGATGCCATCATGACGACCATCCGGGGCCTTTTGGGGAGTGAAGATGGAATATGATAGACCATGCATGAACATGCTGAACATTCTGTGCACCCACAAACTATGGTCCAAACGGAGATTCTGCCACCCCCATATATGTGCTTTTGGCTCACCGGGCCGGTGATGGGTGTCCTTTCTCCGGTGTCTGTGGTGACTCCCCGGACCTTCGCCGCTGCCGGCCTGGGCCGGGCGGTTTGAGGCTGCCGATCTTCACGCACTGGAGGGCGCCGGAGGTCACCGACGCCTGGGCCGAGCGGGGGAATTTCATGAAGTACGACAATGTGGTGTGCCTTTCCACAAGAAAACGATGGCAGGTTGCGAGGAGGTTGCGGGAGATTGGAAGGTTTAGAAAGGCGACCTCAGGGCGGCTGGTTGTTGAGAAGGTGAGGGTTCCTTGAGCGGTTGCAGTGGGCAGTGGTGTGGCTGATTTCCTGGAGGCTTTGTGGGTTCTCGCCGAGTGGCACCCCCTTCCGGCGACAACGCCTCCACCCTTCCAGCTAGTCAGCTAGTGCATGGTGTGAACCTGTCAGCTAGTCCACCCTTCCAGCTAGTCCACACATCCAACGACTTAGAGCTGTGAGTTTCTGCAATGGTTGAAGACAGGCCTACAACATCCTACAACCCATATCATGGCATTCCACGGGTGATCGGTAACGCTAGTTGTTAATGTGTGTTTGCCGCGGTTTGACCGGCATTCTTGATGTCCGTGAGATGACAGGACCCCGAGCTGCCGCCGGATGATGCAAGCCAGGTTCGACCGATTGGACAGTGCCGCTCTCAGGTTCGACCTGCACTACTACCACAACTTCTCATCCATTTGGAACCTCCTCTCCCACCGGCAGCATGTGGACGTGGTCGCGTGCCACGCGCTGGAGTTGAAGTGCTTGCCGCATGCGATGGTCGGGGAATGGAGCACCTCCAGGCACGGGGAATGGAGCATCTGCCGTCGGGCCGGATGGATTGAAATGACACCATGGGCACGTGATGGCACCTGGGAAAAATACATAAAAATACTATTTAATATATATTATATATATATATACCAGCATCCTCCAACAGGTCTCCTTTAGAGGGTTCTTGGGCCCCACCAGGTCTCAATTGGTGACCTGTTGGAGGATGCTTGTATATATATACATACATACACGTGTTCAACGCCGTTTCTCGGACCACAGATTCGGAAGATGAGCAGCCCTTGCTACCGGCTAGGGAACACGATGTTTTCTTTGCGGGGGGTTTTACTAATAGCCTCCAGACATTTTCAGACCGGGTACGGCCAATGTCCACCCCAGTCTCAATAACTTCCATTCCATGCATTTTCCCAATTATTTGTCGAAAGTAGTCCCTCGTTGCGCTGCCTCACCTTGCTGCCGACGCACCGCGCGGTGCGTCGCCCGCGCCAGGCCGGGGCAGTTCTCGGAGGCCGAGCAGGCGGACTTTGCGCGGCAACAGGTGCCGGTGGACGGACGAGACCCGCGCGAGACCCAACCGGTCCGATCAAACGGCCGTGGTGTGTTGGTGTGGGGTGTTTTTGGTTCTCCGTTGAGGACTCTATCATGAGAGGTTGGATGGATCGGAGTGGATCGACTGAAATCGCCCTTGGTTTTGCCGTCCGAGAGGGGAAAGAGTTGAACCGATTGATAGTCGACTCATGGAAGTGTCGTTTCGATTGTGCAGCTGGTGACGCTGTGTTGTCGTTCCGGGTTGTCCCCGGAACGGTGGGAGAAGCGCCAACCACCGGCTTGAGCAACTGGGCTGAATCACTCCAGGTGTTGGGCTACAACCACGCCAGCCACGGCTGGACTGAGCCTCAGATGCGAGTCGTGCTCGGTTCCGGATGGACGAAGTCAATTGGGGATGAACATGGGGATGCTCAGTATACAATCGGATAATTTCTTAAACAACACTCTATATATCTATCTATCTATATATATATATATTAGCCTTTACTGTATAATAGCCTTTACATGTGTAACATTTTGTATCACTATATTTATATACACACTTTATTTTATCTATATTTCGACTATATAAATATATAGAGAGAGGGTGAATTATACCTAGTCACTGACAAAAAGTCCCATGCTTTTTGTTGCGAAGGGGTGAGGTTCACATTGAGGAAGCGCACAGCGCACTTAGGTTTTTTTGGAATTGGCATGACCATGCGCTGTCCTCAGAGGGTGCAGACAACGGGGGTGGGCCCGCACGGGCCAACTGGCTTTGCTTTGCTTTGCTTCTTGGTGTCCCTACTCTTGACAACTTGAGAAGTCAGTGATTCGGTGATTAACGAAGACATGGTGGGTGCGGGTTCCGAGCCGGCCATGCCGACAGCACGGCAGGAGTTCTACACCGATTGGGACATGGAGCGAGGCGCTTTCAAGACCGGCCGCTTACCCAAGCCTTTGGGCCCTAGCGAGCTGCAGGCACGGCGTTCGGCGATCTACGCCGAGACATGTGGGGTTGGCTAAGGTCGAGTCGACTGGGTCTTCACGTGAGTATTGTGATGTATGGGGAATGTTGGCAAAGCCAGATGAACAAGACATATCGAGACAGATTGTGTCCTGTCATGCCCTGTCCTCTTCATGTCCGATCAGCCGGCCCCAAGAAGCCGGCCCGCTTGTGCACGCTTGTGCATCCGGGAGCTTTCATGTGCATTTGTTCGATCTCAGTTTCCACCTCCGAAGTCCATCTGCCTGTCGGAGTGGCCTGCGCGACCTTGCCAGGGCTTCCTACGCCCAGAGTGGGAAGAAGACGGACGGGGAGGACGCGAGCGACTTCTTTTCCCACGTTTTACCTGGGATCCTGGACCTGGATAATGGTCCTTAGTCTCGGAATCCTGGAACAACTTGTTCTGAGTGTGCCGCAGCCAAGGAACACCTAAGGGAGTGTCAGATGGTTGAGCGTTGGGACATCGGGTTGGCCCCTTCACTGACATGTCACGTGAGAGTCATGTGCCCAGAGAGATCCCAAGCCCCAGAGTTTTGGATCCCATTTCGTTGCCCCTTTAGGCAGCTCTTTGCCCTGTACGGCAGCCCAGACTGAGTGGCTCAGACTGCGGCTTTGAAACTACTTCAGAAGAATAGACATCATAATGCAAATGGTTCTCGACAGTGCAGGAAAGGAATATCTCATGTACCCCTAATTCCCACAGGCAGGATTGACTTGTAGGGTTTTGGCGGACAATCCCATTCTTGTGTCCCAAAAGAACTCGTCCAGGGGCCAGTGGTGTCCCTTGGCAAAATCGAGCATTCTGGAAGAGGAGACCCAGTTCCAGCATGGGGTTTGTCCGGGTTGGTCGTTTCTATCATATTTGACTCTTTCCCTCGCCTGGTGTTTAGGAAGAGTCAGAGACCTGACAGGGTTCCAGCAATGGTCGCCGTTTTGCTGCTTGTGGTGGGAGTGACACCGCTCAACTACTCCAATGCATATTGTACCGACCGCTAAGGGCAACGCCAATGTTCCGTCCAAATCCATCATTATGTTCTATCAAAGTTTCTGTATCCAAATGCATCCAATTCCTTCCAACCAAGTTTCGCACAAATCCCGAAACTTGTGATTACTAAGTAATGCCCTTTGCTACTAGTAGCGGTGTCCTTGCTACGTTCGTACCTTCTTGCTCGTAGTAGTCCGGCCAGGAGCTACGTTCGTAGCTTCTTGCTACTCCATCATGTTCCATCCTTCCATTTCGCATCACCTTGACGCCTCGGAGTCTGCCGCCCAAGGCCGTGCACCTGGCATGTGGCCACGGCTCATGGGCTGGGCTAGCTATGCACAGCAGCTTTGGCGAGTCTATGGCTGAGGTGGGATGGAGTATGAGACATTTTTGGGGCTCCAGCGCGGCCCCAGGGCGTCTCTATCTTGGCACTTCCCACTTCCAAGAGATGCATGATATATCGCATGTGCCGCATGGGCAGCACCCCTCTTGTGCTTGGGAGAGAGAAAAGGAGCTAGCACACCGCTCTGTTTGTTTTCCTTCGTGAGAGCCAGATTTGCAATTGCGAGGTGGACCAATGCGGGGAGAACTTGCCCTGCGCCGGTGCTCGCTGTGGAGAAAAAGAGCAGGGCGTCATCGGCGTCCCGGGAGACAATGGGGGCTTATCGCAAAAGGAGAAGCAGGCTGTCACTCCATTTGGTTTCGATCTGGGAAGTGAGAAGTCTCATCAGCTCTTTTTTAAAAGGCGCTGGGGGCTTTTCTGATGGGGGCATTTTCTGATGTTATTGTTCACGAAGGTTCTGGGTATCCAAGACCCCTGCTTCTGGCCGGTTGTCCCACGCGCCTGTTTGATCTGAGGCCCCATCACCCGGCCCCTCGCTCAGGCGAGGAAGTGTGGAAGTGTGTGTGGGCCGCTTTTTTTAAATACATATAATTGTTGCATCAATCAACCAATCAATCAATCAATCCATCGACCTTCTTTTCTCAATTGTTTGTTATATTTTGTTATTACTTTTCCCTTTCTCCACAAAGGCCGTCGGTGGCGTGATTCTCATGATTTCTCAATGTTGGGTGAGCTTCCAGTAGGACATTCTCAGAATCGGTGCTTGCTGCGATCCCTGACAGGCGGAGCGTGAGCTGATGAGATTAAAGGAGTGGACGCCCCAAAAAAGGAAGACGGTCTGACGTGCCAGTAGACGGGCCCACTCCATGGTTCTTCCACTTCCATGTCTGTGCTAAAGCTAGGGCACTGATGGTGAGATGTTGGAAGTTGGCTCAAAGTGTAGTTCCTCCAAGACGATGCGCCACCCATTTTCACAGGCACCTTTTCGTGGGTTTTGTGGTGTTGGGGCAGCTTCTGGGTAGCCCTGCTGGTGGGGCCAATCGCTACAGCGGCTGCACGGTGGTTGATCTTGGTTTTCAAGTGTATCTAGAGTGTGCGTCATTTGCCCCGAATCTGCCGTCCATCCAGCGCTTTTCCATCATGCCTGATGCCTGAGAAGCATTTCTAGTCCCAGGCATGCGCATCGGATGCGCAGAAGGCAGATACGATATATATATATATATAACTATACATTAAATACTTCATCCTATAGCGGCGATTTCCTGAATCAAAGTCTGCCAACACTACGGTCTGCATATATATATATATATGTATGTGTGTGTTATACTATCTTATATTATGATATATATATATATGTTCATATTCTAGAAGGGCTGAATTTAAGGCCTAAATGGCGTTTTTGATATGAGCCCTTGCAGGAGACACTGACGAAGGATGTGAGCCAGCCACGCTCTGAGAGAATCTCAAAAACGCATGCTTCACGCTGGCCTCCAAACACTATTTCCAAGCCATGCTATTTTTTCTGGGAAATTCTGAACATGTTTCCCCGCATGAATCAAGGCACGCACATAGGAATTAACCTTCCTTCTTAAACTCTTCCATGGGCTGTGATCTGGTGCCCTTCTCCTGGGCCACCCATGAAGATCACCCAAGTTTTGAGCCTGTCGTCGCCTGCCGTGTATCGAAGTCCTCACATGTCTCGATCATTCAAGCTTATCAGTTTGCACATGCGCAAACTCTGAGATGGAACCCCCAAAATATCGCGGAACTAGCCTGAGGCTTCTCGTTTTTTCCATCCTCCTCCTGCCCCTGCCGCCCGAGGTTCCCCACGCTGGCGCGCAAGGTCTCCGAGTGCAAGTCGGCGCTGCAGCCGGGGCAGATGGCCGGCGATCTAGGCGGTTCCGGTGATGGCATGACGGCAGACCTGGGGGCAGAGCTGTCAACTCCGATGCCTGAGATGCGCATTCTGGTAGCTGAAGATGAAATGCCTTCAGAAATGACATGGGACTCCTATAAAAGATGTTCCTCCACAAGCCACGTGTGTAATGCGTTGCTTTTTCCTGGAAGGAGCTAGGAAAGAGGGTGAATAAGACGCTCGAACTTGTCGTGATCATGAAGCGAGATTTCGCCCCTATGAAATCCATAATCCTCAGATATCCTCAGTATCTTCATGGCTTTGGTGCCCACGGATGACTCCGATGGGTCGGGGAAGACGACCGTCCGGAAACCGCGGGTCGGTGAAGACGGTTTCGGAGCGGCCGCGGCCACCTGGAGCGGGTTCGGCATGCGTTCGGTCTGCGTTCTGTTTGCACCAGTTTGCGATGTTTTTTCGGTGAGGATTTTTGGGGTGCAGGAAGGATTGTGACAAATTCTTCGTCATCCCCCACAGGGGTGTTGCCGACAGTAGCTAGCTTTGGCGAAAAGGAGCCATGAGCCAGAGTTGCCGGGCCGGTGTTGTGGGAGACGACATGCGGCGATACCGGTGGAAACCATATCGGACCATGGTTCGTTCAGGTAGAACCATTGAATTTTGTAAATCATACTGCATTTGACATTTGGTTCTACCATACGGCTCTGCCTCGAATTTGCTTGTTCTTGAATTTGCTTTCACAGATTGCATCGTTTTTTTTAAAGTAAGCCTTGAAGCCACATATTTTTTCCATTATTTATATGGCATATATATTTATATATACAAATATCAACACAACATGCCGTTCCACCTGCTGGGACGAAACCGGCTTTCGGAAGATCAAAGGGTCGAAGACCGGGACATCCGGACACCGCGGACGCTGTGCAGGTTGGATCTCGAAAGGCACCCAGGACCCTGCCTTGGAGGAAGCCGTCTTCTCGCTGGAGGTCCCCATCGGCTGGTGGCGGGTCAGATCGTGTATCCATGTGGTCCCATGTGTATCCAATAAAAGATCCTGGTCCAGTGGTGGTAGGATGTAGAAGGTCAAGTGGCCTTGTGGCCACTCCATCTAGTCTTCTAAAGGTGCTGCAGACCAACGGAGTGCTCAATTGAGGCTTTCTGTGAAGACCCTGGAAAATGCTCACAGTATTGCTGCCCTGGAACTTACGGCACGGTACAGTACTGCAGGAGTGGTTTGGATCCTATCCGGCCCCTCCCCCCACGGCCGTTGCAGAACTGGCCAGCTCGGCAATCCGCCAGGTGAATGCTCTCAGCGATCTGGTGACGACCTCTCGGGGTGTCCACATTGTGCAGAGATATGCCTAGGCAGGGCCCGCGCCCAGCCGCTGCCCAAGTGAGGGGCCAACAATCTGTCGGGTGTGGTCGTTCAAGAAAGAGGGATCTTCCCAAGAAGTTGTATATGAAATGAAGTCCTTCTAGTTCGTCACTACAGAGCCCTCCTGGCTCTAGACAGTTCATTTCTCCTTTCTTTGGGGGGGGGTTCCCTTTGAACATTTGAGAAGCAATGCATCAGGGAACTGTCGTCTTCAAAGCCACCATCGCGACCATGTGATAGACACAACTCTTCTGAGTAGCCCTGCTTTCAGAAGGACGCCCCGGAGCAAGGACGCTACGAACGGGGCTCCTGGCCTTACTACTGTAGTAACAAGGTTCGCTACGTTCGGGGCTCCGATCGCATCGCAGCATCGAACCGTTCGCGATCGGACGCCCCTGCTTTCAGGTTGACCGGATTTCACCGATGCTGAGCTTTCCAGTTCGACGGAGGGTGGAAGACGGTTGTGAGTTCGCTTGGCCACCCGAAGAGTGCCACGGGGCCACCGGTGCTCCCAAATCGGAGAACCGATGTGGTGAAGTGGGCGTTGGAAGAAGTGGGGTGCTGGAAACAAGGCGGACGTATTGTATTGTTTTGATTCGTTTTGTGGATGTGGGATGATGTGGAGTCAGTCTCACCCACTCGCTTGCATGAGAGTTACTCAAGTTAATTTTTTGTTTCTCTCTCTTCTATTTTATTTTACATTTTGCATGTCCAACATGATAGCTTTGGCGACCCATGCAGCAGAGGTGGGACCTGTCGCTTGCGCTCTCACCTGGCTCAAGAGGGTGGCAGACATGAGTGTAAGCAGAGAATGAGGCCTTCTCAGGATGACAAGCACCTTGGAGCTAAGGCCCTCCACACAGCGCTCCCACGCACGTCCCGGCTGGCCCCCCGACCACCCGACCGAGACTCGCGGGACCTCGAGACCCGCGGTCCGAACGTGCCCGGCGCGCCATGGGAGATGACCAGGCGGGTTGCGCAGCGGGTTGGGCGCCGCAGGGTTTGGCGCCGGCATCGAACAGCGGAGATCGTTCCCCCTGAAACGGATCGGACCTTGGGATATGAAGATGAGAGAGAGTTGGCCAACTCAAGCAACAGCAGCAGGATTTCGAGGATGTTTCAAAGAAGTAGTGTTAGGAGTGCGTGGAAGGGATTCTTGTTTGACATAGTGCTTTTCACATCCACCCATTCTTGGTTGAGTCATGTTGAGTCATTGAGGAGATAAACAGTTGAAAAGAACACATCTATGGGGGCCTACTGTAAACATCTATACAACCTCCTAAATAGATAGAAAAAACATGTATTGGAAACCGTTGCTATCTATTTGGGGACCACTATATGGGTAGAGACCTCAGATTGTCGCGGAAGGTTGGTACCGCATTGAAGGTTTTACAGCAAACTCCTTTCATCATGGTCATGTTGTGTGAATAGTCGAAGGGTCCAAGTTGATCTAGAGTGTGCATATTCTACCTGCTAGTGGATGCCCATGGATGCCCCTTTTGAGCTCATATCAAAGGTGATCTCCTTATAAATCTCATACTGCGAGCCATAGATCACATACTTTTAGCCTGCAGTTCTCTCAAGCGATCGATCCATACTCGCCGGTCGTGGGACGCAAGCTGTCCGTCACGCCTGTCGCTGTCGCCGCAGACGGCCTGGCAGCTTCAGCCTTCTGCCTGGGCGACCCAAGCCGTCCGAGAGCACCGGAGGACTTGGGAGGTGCAGAGGATATCACCTCTTTTCAGAAAGCACTCCTGAAGACGAGCAGTTGACAATGGTTAGTCGTTTGGAAGATGCTTTTGAAGATGGTTTTCCGAGGTTTTCCTTGACCAACCAGGATCACCAGTGGTTTTCAGGGTCCATGTTGGTCTTAAAGGGGGACAGCTCCGCCCAGGACTCCCAGCTCAAAGGTCAAAAACATCTAAAGACCATGTTGGGCAAAAGCCTTACCCTCTGGGTGTTGAGGATAGAGTCTTGAGGGGGTATAGACTGTCGATCAAGGACCCCCCGACCAGAATGGTTCTACATCTCTTTACTACTGAACAGTCTACATGATGAAGTATCCATTGTTTCTGACAAAGTCAGATGGGATTGCACTGCACCAGCAGAACGGCACAGTGCGACTTGTATACACCCCGTAACCACGCAAATGCATTCAATCTAATCATCGACCACTTCATTCCACAGCCCTTTTTGTCCCCGACAGGTCTCCAAGTACCACCTGAGACCGTTTTCCACCCAGTTGTCTTTGCTGCGGGGGTGCACGCCCGACCGCTCGATGGCTCTGAAAGGTCGGAAGCTGGCTGCTTCCGACGCGACCGCTCCACGGTGCGGCGAGAAACGCACCATCCACTCGTGCGGAAGCCAAGCGGGAGCACCACGGATTCCGGGTGTCCATGAATAGCCCGGGGTCAAGAGGTGTCCATTAACCATTCTTTGGGGGCCCTGGTATATATCACACCTTTCTTTTCTTTTCTCTTTGTTTCTGATAGCGATGGCCTCCACCCTAAGAGCGATCCAACCTAATAGCGGGGGGGATGAAAGGTGAAGGGAAGGGTGAATTGTTTCTTTTGACCTTGGACTCACTGACATGGAAGTGGTAATTTGGGTCCCTTGGATGAGAAACGTTCCTCAACAACCAGGGGTGGATTCCACTTCCATGTTAGTGAGTCGGAGTGTAAGGTTGGGTTTGGAGAAGAAATGGGAGCAAAGAGCTTTTATATTATAGAAAGCTTTGTTCAGGGGTATTTTCAGGCAAGTAGCCTAAGTAGGAACCAGAACAAGAGCAATGAATTTCCCAAAGATTCTCTACAATTACCACATCTACCACTCGCTTGGTGTTTGATGGATTTTGTTAAATCTTGTTCCCTGCTTCTTGCCGCTCGGAGGCACGCCGCGATCTTCAGCTACAAATTGGGAGGAGCCGGCCATTTCGGGGATCAGCGCTCGACAGCTCAGTTGACCGCAATCCGCCTGGTACTAGTACAGGCCCTCCTAACGAGGGCTCCAGGCTTAAGCAGGTTGATGTACATAATACTCAACAAGGTCGAGTCTTCCGACCCCCGTTGGAAAAACGGACCATTCCTGTCCTTTCGGTTCTTCAGCATCTCCATGTCTAGATGCATCACGCCTGGTGGTCAACCTGCAGGAGTGCCCATTTTCACGCGTCCGTTCGAACACCCCAGGTGACGTGCTTTCGCACCCTGCACCGACCGTGGGGGCGTGTGGGCCTGCCATGTGAGCCACGCCCGCGGGGCTGTTGAGGAGCTGCTGAAATACCTCGATCTCCCGGAAGCCCGCCGGGCCAGAGCGCTAGACATGGTCCATGAGCTCAGCGGAGGGCACGCGGAGGGAGACATGGTCACGCCTTCACCACCGGTGACGCATATTGAGGATTTTCCTGCGTGCCCGTGCCGTGCCGTGCGGTGGGGGTGTGCGTGTGTGCGTTCCGTGCTGCGTGCGGTGCCCGTGCGAACTCTTTATGGGCGTGAGGTGAAGAGTGTTGACCTCGCGGTCGAGTGATTTCGAGGGAAGCTGCAGAAGATGGTCTAAGATGGTCCAATTAGAACGACCATCAGCCCAAGCGACCATGAAAACGGATATTCTTTCTTTTGCATTGACTTTCTTTCTTATATGTCTGATTTAGCTTAGGCATCTACTGCAGCTCTGAAGTTGATATTATGGACATCTACGGGGGGTGTCATGTGCATGCCATCCAAAATAGAAGCATAAGATACTGTGAATCTTTTTCAGCCTGAACTAAGAACAAGGGGTAAAAGATCTTGAATGGAGGTGTAGGATTTCTTTGGATTCAAAGCCAATACTGTAATATGTTTGGACTACGTGAAGGCCAGGCGGTTCAGAGTTTTTTCTTGTCACGAAAGCTAGCGAAGCTAGCTGGAGTTACTCTTGCGATAGCAAGGTTTCTTTCGACCGGGTGCAAATCCTAACCCCTGATTATTCAGGTCGAAGACCCCCCCCCCCCCCCCCCC